AATGTTAATTATTCATTTAATATAATCTTTACAACTATTTTAACTCAATGAAAAGTAAACAATGAGCAATGATTGGCAAAATCCAACTTAAAATAAATTATGTATATACAGTATTATAATAGTAGACATTAGTACACTGAGCATGTTACCTGAAATGAAATGCTCATAAAAATACTACACTTTATATTATGGTACCACATAAATTTTAGCTGAAAATAAATTAATACAATACTATACTTTATACTTTTATATTACTCTATTAATTATATTTCCAGTGTGTATCACAAATTAAGAGTATCCATCGTGCTTGTTTGAACACTGTGCTACATATGGTCAGTGTTGCTTGAGAGCATAACACCGTAACACTATTGACCCAGTGGTGGTGGCGTGCGAAGTAAAACATTTATACGCGACACGCCAACACGCCTTACACGCGTGTAAAGCGTATAGCCAACACGTCGCCAACTCTCGTACATCATTTAGCGGACAATAGTGGGTTGTGTAGTTGCACCAACTTGTTGATTTGAAACTAACCTTCCTAACCAATTATTGCGTGTCAGTGTTACAGCCTCAAGATGTCCGTATTGTTTCGTCCGGTTTTTGTAAGGGTTCGAAGGTGATTTATTTTGTGGTTTAGGTTGAGAGATAAGGAGTTTGAATTTATAAGTGAAAGTTGTTTGACAGGGGAGGCTGTTAAATTTAGGTGGAAATTTGTGTTGATCGAAGAGAATTTAAATTTACGTGACATTTTGTTTTGATAGAGAAAGACTTTGAATTCACGTGATAATATGTATTGACAGACACTTTTTTGAATTAATATGACGATTTTTTATGACAGAAGGATTTAGAACGTAAAATTATGTCCTAAAAGTGGAGAATTTTGAATTTAAGTGATATATTTTGCATGTGTTTTTATTTCCGAGCCAAAATATATTTACAGAGAAAGATTTAGAATTTACGAAATAATTTGTTTTGATCTGGGAGGATCTTGAATTTAAGTGATAAAATATTTGTACAGAATCGAATTACAGGTTTAAATGATGACAAAGAATGGGTGCAATTTCATTTATAATATTCACACTGCACTTGGTTAAAGAATCTACAAACTAAATGGAATTCGCTGTTTCGTCATATTATATTGGAGACAGATATTATATTGTACTTGTTAATACTTAGTAGCTTCTGAAACTGATGTGCTAACAATAATATTTTGTGTACTGATTTTTTTCCATAACAAGATACTTTGAATAGTGAAAATACGGAAATTTGCAGACGTTTGTACAAATTGAAAACTACACTACAGTCGGGCTTTGTTCCCGATGACTGCGGTCTCAAGCTGCTTCTTTGATTCTAGTCACATAGTAATTGAGTGTATATGGTGTGTCTACTCGGAACCCAATCAAAGAATTGGTATTCCTTATTATCATTCCGAGATTGGCATAGGAACGCGAGAACGTGGAACGCGGTGTATTTACAAACAATGGAACGGAGGACTCGGAACGTGGCGGGGTTTTTGTTATTTCAACAGTCTGATCTGCAAGTAGGTGTGAGTAACATAAGGTAACGAAGAATCTGAGTACTTAGTAAACTGTTATCAGTTAAAACAAAGTTGTCTTTACGCCGTCTTATTAATCGTTCCAAAATAAAAATAAAATCATGCTGAACTGTATGATATGTTATGCCCACATGCAATATCAGAGCAATATAAACCTAAGGAGAAAATATAACTTTATGGCAAACTTTAAAACCACGGCAACGTCTTTGGCACTGTCACCTCTGGCTTGTCCATGTAAATTATATACCATAACTGTGATCTTTAGATTACTTCGCATACCTATGAGTATGGATAGTAACGATTAGTTGATCTCTCCATGAGAGACAATCAAAGATTAAATACCGATGTTTGATGTTGTATGGAAAAAACTGGCCAAAACGAGCCCATATAGATTGGGTATACTGCAGTGGTAATTGTTTATGCGAATGTTCACTCTATTACCATGAGTCAATTCACTTCTAAGCATTTTTATTGCAAATAACAGTTTTACTTTGTTGTACTAACGTAGGCCTACATAATGAGTTATATTATGGTTCCTCAACTTAAAATTCGTCTAGTTAGTAAAGTAGTCGATTGTAACAACTATCAGTTGAAGTTCTCTACAAACAAATAATGTTCATTTTCAAAGATTCCTCCGCCAATGGCATTTTTACGAGTTTAAGGGGTAACTGCCCAATTGTTTCGATACCTAACCTTGAAACTTTCTTTCAACTCATCATTAACTGTAGCCCAATGACAAATAGCACCTATGTCCAAATCCCACCCACTATCCAACCAGCAACCTTCATATTTGAAGGCGAGCATTTCAACAATACCAATGTTACCTGTTAAATGTGTCATTGCTTGTCACATCGGACTTCATCATGCGCCCACGTGCCGCTGAACGACGGCCATTTTGAACACGTCTCAACACGTCCACTGGCCGCTTTCTAACCTCACGCGCCTCAACCCCATGTTCGCGATTTGAATGTAAATGTATTAGTCAATACCTGTCAAGTAGCTTGGGGAGCGGAAGGGGTGACCAAACACCGATGTGACGTCGTTTTTATTCACTTCTTGTCCCCGACGCAAACGAGTGTTGAAATATTGTAGTTGGGAGTAGACTTGATTCCATCTTGTAAAACTTGTGCTACGATATCCATTAGAGTATTTCCCTCAATAATTTTACCTTTTAGTTTTGTTTAAGTACTTGGTAATAATTACAGTCATTGCTTAAGAATAGTACAGGTTCTCTTGTCCTTTAAATGAATCTGAAGCCTTTATGTATTTATTGTTGGTGACGGTGATTGCTGTTAATTGTTTTTATCTTATTTTGGTTTTGATTTCATGATTAAGCATCTGGTTTAAAAACTAGTGGATGAGCTGTGGTTTATTATTAGATCGTTTCATTCTGTTAAAGAAGCGGGAGAGTGAAATATAAAGAAATTAATAGGAAATAAAAAGACACCCGCATGAACCAGGGATGGAACCAACAATTTAGCTGGTTCAAACAATAAATATTTAGAGGAATATATTTAATTTATAATAAGGTTTGATTTTTAATATAAATTCTACTTTAGACTTAGGGTATTGTAAACAAATAAGAAAAATGTACCTATTTTATTCCTCTTGGAAATTGATAGAGGGTAAATTGGGTATGTACGAATTTTGTATTATTTGCACCATTTTCTGTTATTAGAGCCGCATTATCCGTAGTCAATGTAGGCCTACTATAAACCCTCAACATCAAGCATAAAACTGAACAAATCAATAAAGTAAGAAATTGTAAAAATATTTTTTAAGAAAGAGTTTGCTGAACTAAAAAACTCACATCAAACCTCTATAGTATATTAAGACTCATAAAATTCGCCAACTTCGATTGTTTAGTGTTCTGTAAACTTTGCAAAAGCCAATGTAAAAAAATGATGTGGTGTAAAAGGTCGATATTAAGAGTATAACCTCATTTCAGCCCTAGCTCAGTGATATTTACACAGCCGTAAAGCAGGATAGGCTGTTAAACATTTTATGTCGCAAGTCTCGTGATGAAGTTCTTGCTACAAACTTGGCTGACTTTTGTTGTGAAGTGATATGTGTTTGTTTCATGATTTCGAGATGTTACAAGATTTTCGTCATTTTTTGGTAAAAAAAATGCAGTTTTAGTTTGTGCCTTACTTTTATGTGGTAAATTGAAAAATAAATATCGTATAGTCAATAAGTTGGGGAAATGATCCAAAGAGATGTTACGGAATCGTCTATAGGGGTTTCGTAAAAATGCATGATTATTTCTAATACGAAACCTTGCAAATGATTTGTGATTCTCTTAAGAGTTCTTGGAGTTGAATGTTTTAACTCGTAAAACAATTAAAGAACTACAAAGAAAATGTATAATCTCACAGTATACTAGATATTAAAATCACTCTGGTGTTTGAAAAAATATTTTGTGATGAAATTAACATTGATCTTATGACAGGCAAATCCGAGATGGCCGTTAGCTTCCATGGACTCTTTTGGAGAACAATTAAAAGCTACAAAGAATATTTATAATCCCACAGTATACTAGATATTTAAATTATAAACACGTTGGTGTTGGAAAAAATATTTTTGGACGATAGATAAACTCTTCAGCAGCTGTTTCAAATTATCCAAGATGACCGATAGCCTCCAATGACTAATATTAATCTAACCTTGAAATAATTTAATAATACAAAAACATTATGATAACTCCACTATATGTTTTACCATGTAAAATACGAGTACATATATTTAAAAGATTAATGGGCAAGGGTATTATTTAATAATTGAAACAAATGTATTTGACTATTTTAAATAGGGTAAAATCTTATTAATTGTTTTTTTTTAATTATTACTCGTGATATTTAATGTTTTAAGTCTCTCAGAGTCGGACTACTCTTTACAATGTTTAACGTGCTTCTTGTAACATCTTATAGCTGTTCAAAGCAAAGATTTGACATGCATGTTCTTGGTATTCATAACAGAATTTAAATTTATCAACAATAATCCATCAATTACCCTTTCTGTTGATCGTGGAAACAAATTTACATTTATTTTACAATTGTATTGTTTTTTTTAGCTCGTTTTGCATATTAAAATAAATTTTCAAATTGAATATTGTAGTTTTGAAAACAATTGGGGATAATTTATTTGGTTTCATGAAAAGTAAATACAATTAGTCATGTCCATTCATTAATGTGGATATCGAATTTCCAATTTTCTTTCCTTTTTTAACATTAATTTAATAATTAAAAATTAATAGAAAATCACAAATATACTGATAATTTATCCGTGTTTTTTGTCTATAATATGTTAAAATATTATGTATAAAATATCTAGGAATAAAATTAGTCAATCTACTGAAAATGTAAACACATGATGTAGGAAATTAGTTTTACTACTGTACAATTGTTACTGTATTTGCATCGAAACTAATTGTTTTACTCGTTTTCAGAAATGGGGTGTTTTGGCAGCAAGGACAAGCTGTCCAAAGAAGACATGGACTTCCTCAAGTCTCATACAAGATACGACGAAGCCACCATAAAAGAATGGTATAAAGGTTTTAAGGTTAGTGTCCGTTTTGCCATTTTAGATTTTTATAATATCCTCTAATAATACTAAGGTTAATTTTAAGTTTGTTTGGTATTTTTTAGGTCATAAACAGGATACAATCTGCACATAGAACCTCCTGTTTCTTACAACTATTTCTGTGTCTCTAGTCACATTCTGATTCATTTTGCCGTCTTCAATAAAGTTACTGTGAGGAATCTTCATTTAGTGATGAAAAGCAACTGTGTCTAAAATTATGTTTTCAGAATTAAACTGGAAACCTACTAACTTTAGGTAGAGGTTTAAAAGTACTGAAATAAATTCAAAATATCTAGGAGGCGTTAAGAAGATCTTAGCTAATATATTGGATTTACATACATGTTGGGTATCTGTTTTTTCATATTTTTTTAATAAATGTGAAACTCAATAACATATAATTGCAATTAACTGTAAATTGTAATTAAATATTTAATTCATTGTTATTTTATTGATTTTATATGACACACTCCCTTTTAAGTAATTTTATATATTTTTTTTATTATCAAGCATATAGCGATTAAATAGTAAAAATATAAAACCTTATGCATGTCACCAGTAAGATCAGTATAAAAAAAACTAGTTTACTTTTAGGTTTAAAGTTGTAATCTGAATTTCAGTGGCAGACAAACATTCAATGCAGGTTTTCATGTAACCACTTCAAAGAATGTGCTGCTGTTCTTTATCCCCTTTGTTGAAACAAGCCGCTTGATATGCTTAGAGCTCACATGCTTTTAACTGATGAGTCAATAACCTACCTGATGAGTGATTTATGTTGTACGAAGGAACCTATCTGGTCTTATACCTTATAGGCTATTATTTCTTAGTAGTTAGACTGTACATGTTAGTCTTTACCTCTAGGGTAGTAACTACTGTATATAATTATGGGGAGCGAGCTGGTCTAGTGGTAGAGCGTGGGGTTTGGGGCTTTGGGTCTCTAGGTCCCAGGTTCAAATTCCGCCACCAATGGATTTTATCTTTGTGATAATGATGCAACCCTCTAGGACTAGTCAAAAGTAATGTGTAAAATTTTTCCGGGCGGAATCGTAGCATTTTAAGTCTCGTTCCTATGACGCCAGGTGGGGCGATTCCACAGATGGATTTGAGCAAGAGCTTGTATCAATATGCGTCGTGGGAACAGCACGTCTGTGGTCCGTGTAGCGGTCCGAGGGGGTTTGTTTGGGTCAGGATCGCTTTCGCCTGAAATCGGTAAACTTATGAAACATCAAAGGACTGTGGCTCATATTCGGTGCAGGGGGGAGGTGCACTCTGCACTGTTCCCATCCCATCGGTGGATATTGAAATGTACAATCCAACACGCGTAGTGGGAACGTCTTTAAATGTTTGAATATTCACTGATCCGATCACTGATCAAGAACATCTGTGGTATGGCCCTACCACGCGTAGTGGGAACAAGGCTTTAGGATGTGAAGGTGGGACATAAATAAACTGTATATACTGTATTATAAATGGTTATGCGACCTCAGCAAAGATTGTTTTCCTGCCCATTGAAGATCAGATTCTGTTTCTTGTCCGCCTTCATTATAATCAAGTCTCGAGTTTCCAGGTCAATGGACAATAGTTAAGATCTTGTTCGCTCCGATGGTTCTACATTGGAGTGACATAAAAATCTGATCTTGCCCGAACCCATACAATAAAAATGTGTATTGTGGGCTCGAGGATTGTCTGTATCTTTACCGAGTAGTACTGGCACATTGCAATATTGACTTCCAAGGAATGAAAATTGAGATGATCTTGAAGATTATATTGGAGTGAGTTCATCAACGAAGATACATTTAATTTTGTCTAAAAAAATAATCTTTTTTTGTTTCTTAATTGGTCAATTGGTCTAAGATGGCATCTGAACCACAGTTACAATCATATTGGTGACCGACAGGATTTGAACAAGGGCCTTCAGGCAGAAAACCATCGCTATAACCACTATTAAAGCAGTGGCTCATTCTGAGTTGTGATTACCATTAATAGGCAAGCATGTTTGTTGAAAGCCTTTTTTCTCAGCTCGTGTGCATCGCAGGGAAAATCTACACATACTGTTAAAAAGATATCTTCCTGTAGATTTGCAAAATCCCTTTTATAAATTAAAATAGGCTAAAAAATAAGCACACCAAATGAGTTTAAAATAAAAAAAACAATTACATGGGATTTTTAGATTACTATGCTGGTGATGAAATAACAACAAAATATAAACTGAAAATCAAAACAAATGAATGAAATTCCAACTTTGTTTTATTTACAGTCAGGTATAAAAATAGAGAAGTCTGGTCATAACTTATTTTTGGTATAGTTTTTTACTACTGGACGACCTCTAGTTAATATAAAATAGTACTTGTTTCTGATACACAAAAAATATGTAAAATACAAAATTATAATTTATTTTTCTATATTTTTAGTAATACCCCACCAATATTAGTGGAATGTATATATGTTTTACTTATCAGACATGACCAGAAGCAGTAATAACAAATCGGCAACACAGAATTGTTTATTTATTTATTGTATCTATCCATGTCTGTGGCTTTTATTAAATATTTTTGTTAGGAAACAATTAAGTCCAAGGAGCAGGAACAGCTTTTAATTATTACTATTTATCATGACCATTATTGTCATTTAATTATTACAATCCACCAGTGCTTTTCAGAGGCCATAATTCACTTAGTTGAAGTTTATTGTATCACAACCATTAACCAGAAGATTTGAATTGCTCTGAGGTTAGCCTTAATTGTGGTTCCTAGTTGACGTTTAATTTGCATGACCAACAAACTCCAATTCTCATTTCATTACTGGCAACACTGCCTAATGTATCCCAATTCTCGTTAAACTACAAACTATAGTGAGAAAAATATTTCCATCCCCATTTGATGTTATTTCATTAGAAGCTACTCTGCACACAATACACTAAATGTCTACTGATTGTCATTTTACTGCAAACAACACTATATCAGGTATATCAATTATTGTCATTTCATTTGCAAGCGTCACTCATTTAGGTGCCTTAATTGCCTTTCTATTACAAAAACACGTAATTGGTATTGTGCCTTTCGAACAAAGCTACCAATTACTTACTGTTTGTTAATTTTTAGCGAATTTCCCTATAGGGAAGTAGCTATTACCGTAGGTGGCACGGTAAGACCTAGACCTGGGACCGATTTATTTTTTCATTTTGATGTCCCCAGAGGCCAAAAACACCATTCGTTCAAATTTTTATATATGTATATATATATATATATATATATATATAGATTTATATATATATATATATATACGTCCGTGAACGCGATAACTTGAGTAATTTTGGTCCGATTTTGATGAAATTTGGTTTAAAGGTGTAAAGCGAGATAAACTTGAATGAGTTCGCGAACCAGCATTACTCGGACCATGGGAACGGGGCTTTAGGGGGGGTTTTATGGGGTAAAAATTGGTTTTTCTCACTTTTGACCCTCAAAACACAAAATTTCCCAATTTCTTTTTAGACCTTTTTAAAGGCCTTAAAAAAACAAATAATTTAGTATATAAAAGTATTTTTGTTCGATTATTAGTAACGGAGAAAATTAAAAAAATTGTAAATTTAAAATTCCCATGTTATTCTTATGGAGAATATTGTCAAATGTTGTAATTTGCTTGTTTATGGATATATTTTGATCAAACTTGGCAAATTTATTTATTTTGTACTAAGCTATCAATATTTTACTCAAAAACACACTTTATTAGGTTTCTTGTAGCAGCAAACCTAGGTACTCGTCAAACCTAATGTTATTAAAATATATTTAATTGAAAATCAATTCAGACAAATGGAAATTCGCTTAGTCGGCAGGTTTGCTGCGGCGGGGGTATTTAATTATTACCATCTACAATAATGTTATAATTCATATATTAAATATACTTATCTATAAGAGGACCTTTTGTGTCTTTGTTTGTTTCTTTAAAGTTCAATCATGCGTTATCTACTGGTCGGATTGGGCTGAAATTTGGCATGATGGTAGCTCACATTCCCAATTAACATATATGCATTTTCTTATTTAAAAAATCCTTTCAGGCTCCGCCCCAGTGGTTCTGGATTTTCCTATTTTAACCTTAATTCATATTTAATTTTTATAAGTTACTAGCTGTGTACCCGTTCTACGCACGGGGATCTTATAATATTCAGTTGAAACCTTCTTATATAAAGAACAGCAGTTGGTTTGCATATTTTAAGATATGCTGGCCAAACTATTATACATAGCTTCATTTTATGTTGTTTTTTGTTGTTCCGGATCGGTATGACAATCAATAAAAGGTTAAATTACCTCTGTGTCTGCCGGTCGATCCTATAACGGTAGGCTTACTTTTATTTTTACTATCTGATCTCGTTTGCATGGCTCAATCACGTCCTGGTTGAAGTTCGTTCGCTACGCTCACTCACCTGTATGTTGGAGCTCGTTCGCTGCGCTCACTTTCCTTCAGGTTAGCTCGTTCGCTACGCTCACTTGCCTTCAGGTTAGCTCGTTCGCTACGCTCACTCGCCTCCATGTTGCAAATTAGCTGTTGTCATAAATGTAAAAGAAATAATAGTGCTAGTGCTGCACCCTGTTGGTAATCCTTGTAACTTTAATGCTATTGAACATCACAGAACAGAACCAACTTGTTTAATTGAAACAGCTGTTAAGATTCAATAATTTCATTTCTCATAAGGTTAACATGGGCTTCCAGAAATTCCACGTCAAAAATCGACAAAAACTTGATTTTCAAGGGTTTACTGTTAAATATCTAACTGTCTCATATTCGATGAAATACGTCTAAAACCATCTCATATATGTATAGTATTTGGAAAATAAGTTTCAGGCGGGACAGTGCTATAGTTATTGAGGAGTAGTTGTAATAAAGTGCGTATTTTAGCGTTACCAAGAGAATGACAGATAGACAGACAGACAGACAGACAGACAGACAGACAGAAATTGAGATAAGGTTTGATTCGGTTTCTCTGACCTATGAAATGTAAAAATAACCAAAAAGTTCATTATTCTAAGCAATGTACAGACAAAACTCTAATTTTATTTATATAGATTGTTAAGGATTGTAAAAATATCTATAAATTTGTATTAACTAATGACAATAATTAGCAGATGTTGTATCTCTCCCAGCGACCACAGTTCTGAGGTCGCTGATCTGTCCTTAAGGATTGCCAAGCTAAAATATTATAAAACCCAGTTTTAAACATCATAACAGTTGATTAATTAAATTCCCTTGTGGACTAGCATTAAAATTTCTTCCATTACAGCAGCATTGTTATTTGTAAGTTTATTCTGCTTATCCCTAGAGTAAGTTATCTTTTAAAATTAATCCTGAACTTATCATGGTACTGTTATATCTGTTATAAATTTGAACTATTTTCGTGACAGAAGACAGTTCTTACTTTTTTTGTTATAATGTGTTTTTAAATTAAACACTTGCTAAATGTACTGTACATGCATATATACTACAGTAGAACCTTGATAAGAAGACTCTTATGGGGATGATCAAATATGACTTGTTATCAAGGTTGACTCCTTATAGAGGTTTGCAATAACATGCATTAAAGGGCAATATAAAATCATGGGTATTTAAAAATGACACTTGTTATCAAGGGCCACTTGTTATTGAGTGGCCACTTCTTATCAATGTTCCACTGTAGAACAATTTGCAGACCAAATGCAGCAGTTTTCATGTTAAAACAATATAGAACATTGTAGCCCACCTCTGTATTGGTTGTCAGGTTGAAATGTTATCTCACTCACCTACCTTCCTCTTATACTAAAAATAGAGATAAATGATGTTTAATGTTGTTACCACATTCCGTTGTGAAACTATCATGACAACCAATAAGTCCAAATGATAAAATTGAAAAATGTTTCGTCTTGAACCTGAAAAAAGTTTTTCAAAACAATCCTTGGTAAGTTTGGCTACAAGATGTTCAGCCGTTATTGAGTGATAGTGTTCGAAAGTTTCTATTGAAGCCAGTCAAATAGAGCTTCGCTTCGCTCCGCTCGATGATCCTGACTTATGAAACAGCCCATTTAATTAGTAATAAAACACTCAAACTTCACTTATATTTTGGGATAAACTACGGAACTAGCACCTATGAAGCGTCCCCATATCAATTATTGATGATAATGATGATGATAAATGCCTTCATCTCCCGCCAGCTCTTTCTCACTTTTCAGTTGTTTCTTCAGGTTTTCTTCCTCCTTTGGTCCTCTCCTCCATTGTCCCTGAGAATTTTAGTCAATAATCTTTCTATTCTTTCTATGGCATCCTACTCTAGATATGAAGGACACTTTTTTAATCCATATGCCGTACTAAACTGATTTTAAAATGTTTTTTTAAATAGTTTGGTCAAATGTTGATTGATTGTTTTTTTCACAGCAAGACTGTCCTAACGGGAGGTTAACGCCAGCCAAGTTCGTCGACATGTACAAGATGTTCTTTCCAAGTGGGAATGCAGAAGAATTCTGCGACCACGTTTTTCGAACATTCGACATGGATAAAAACGGTTATATTGATTTTAAGGTAAGCTTACTAGTTTCAATGTGTAAATATATCCTAAACCAACTTACACAAGAAAGCACTTTGTGTTGTGTCCGTTTTTGTTTACTAAAATACTTTAATTTGAATTTGGAATTTTGTTTGTTATAATTACATTAACAATTAACCTGTTATTTTATTTGTGTACAAAAAAAGGGTCCATTAAAATTGATTGGAAACTGTTGCAAGATTCAAAGGGAATTTATACATGATTTAGTTTAATATTATTTGCCTAAAATCTTGATTTCATTTCAACACGTAGGGGTAGTTTTTAAAATCTAATCAAACTAAACTGTCCTGAATTAATAACCAGTGTTGTACAGATCCGTATTGTATAGGGATATATATCAGTGTGTATAATGGGGTTTAGGGGTAGTTTTTGAAGTCTCATCAAACTAACTGTCCTGAAGTAGTATCTCTGTCGAGTCTCTTTTGCAGAGTCATGATGTAGGAGGTAGTTTTGTAAGATCAGACTAGTGCAGAGATACCTTATGTGTCAGGGTGTATAATAGGTGTAGAGGTAGTTTTTTAAGTCTCTTACTAAATGTCAAACTAAATGTCCTGAAGTAGTATCTCTGTTGACTCTTTTTGCTGTAGATTGATGTAGGGGTAGTTTTGTAAGATCAGACTCGTGTAGAGATAGCCTATGTTTCATGGTGTATAGTGGTGTAGGGGTAGTTTTTGAAATCTTATCAAACTAACTATCCTGAAGTAGTACCTCTGTTGACTATCTTTTGCAGAGTCATGATGTAGGAGGTAGTTTTGTAAGATCAGACTCGTGTAGAGATGTTTCTCACTGTGGTGTACAGAGCTCTGTGTAGGGGCTGAGACAAGCTCGGCTCACTTGAGGCAAGGGCTGCTAATGGGCATCACTTGTTACTTCGACTCTTTCCACCCTCGCCTCCTTGCCTCACCTTCATCACTGTGTTTTCTTTAAACTCCACCTCCGTCAGAGTTATTTATCTTGTTGCAAAACCCTGAAAATTCAGCTCTGTGCGTAATTTATAGCTTTTTGAATGTTTGGGTTTTTTTTATATCCGACAAAAAAGTGTTTGGTTGATAAAAGAAACAAAAACTTTGTATGTAATAAAATGATGGTAATATAGATTTGATTTATAATTAATTACATTCTAACTTTAAAATTGCTCGTATGTTAATTAGCTTAAGAAAATACATTTTAACTACCTTATTCCTTAGGAGATACAATTAATGGTGGTGAATTAATATGATAGATCCGTAAAAATTGTTAAACACATCAAGATTCTTATATTAAAAAAGTATTGTAGTAGTAATAATATGATTTTAAAAATAGTTTACAGATTAAATAAACATTATTTCAGTCGTCAAACCTTTTAAAATTATGTATCAATAAATTGACAGGATTTCACTTGCTGAATTATGTAAACACTTCTGCGTGTGGAAAATAACAGTTATCCTAAACAGTTTCCACAACTACTTTATGAAAACTCCCCAACAAACAAAAAAAGTAAATATTATCTTAGGTAAACTAACTTTTCCCCTCCCTAGGAAAACAAACACCATCTTTTCTCTAGGAAATAAACTATCCTTTGAAGGAAAACAAAGTATATACCCTCTGGAAAACCCTATTCCATTTTCTCGATAGAAAAACAACCTTTATCTTCTAGGAAAAAACGTAAATCTTTTGGATAGCCAACTCCCTATTTCTTTATCTAAAATAATGTTGCCTGGACGAGAGGTAAACAAAAATATATTCTAAACCTTTCTCACTTTCAATCAATAACTCCCCTATAAAGACCCACTCAAACGAAATCTTTCCTCTAGGACCAAACAATCACTGGTAGATCTTACAATAGAAAAATCAATGCTAAAATGTTATCAAACTTTGTAAAGTGAAAATCTTTCCTCTAGGAAAACAAACTCCTATGTCGACGAGAGTGAGATTGTACACAACTCTACCATGGTAACTACCATTTCTGATTGTAAAACAATGCAATACAATACTGTTCTTACTTTTAACAAATAGCCTCTTTGTAGGTAACTACTTGACAAACATCTTACTTCTTCGAAAACTAACTTGGTAGCTTCAATGAGAGCTAGGGTCAACGTAACCTTGTCGTGATCTCTTTGCTTTGAGTAACAAAATTAATCAATAGTGGAACCTCGATAAGAAGACCCTCAATAACAGGTCACTCTTGATAACAAGTGTATTTTTCAAATCCCCTTCAATTTATTTTACCTCTAATCACATGTTATTGCAAACCTCAATAAGAAGTCAACCTTGTTAACCAGACTAATTTTATAATCCCCATGAGAGTCTTGTTATCAAGATTCTACTGTATAAACAATTTTCACTTTCAAAAAAAGAATCTCCTACAGGAGGAAGGTCTTTCTTCTAGGAAAACTAACTTTGGGTCGTCTAACGAGAGTGAGAGCATTGACGTAACCCTGTCGTGTTCACTGGCTGCTTTGATTATCAGGGTCGTTGCATGAGATTAAAAACCAGGCCAGCACCTTCATAAAACCAACTTGTTTATCAGCTTCATCTCCCGCGGCTATTGACTGACCCCCTTCTGTATTTGCTGCACAGTACAGCACAGCCCTTCAGACACTTCTTATCATCATTTCATGCTTGATTACATGTTTGCACTACATTGACTCTCTTTTCTGTCAAAACGTTTCACTTTGTAGAATGTTTTTTACTCGCAGTACAGTTTGATTGGTAATCTATGGTAAATAGTTTCAAAATCTTTGTGTATTGAAATTTTAATTTTCATCCCCTAAATGGTATTGAAATACCGGTAGCTAATTTAATATTTTCTTATGATTTTAAAATGTGTGGAAATTATTTGAATCATATTTTTACATTGGAATATAAATTGTTAAATTTTAGTACTGCTAATTTTGACAACAAACATTCTTTACTTTTTTTTTAAGAAATTATTAATTTAGATTCATATTTCATTTAGATTTTTATTGATTTAAATTTATTTGAATTACTTTTTTTCAAATCTTGTATTATATTAATTATTTGGAAATACTTATGAAATACTCTACTGTGTTCGTAATATAATCTTCTAAACTATGTTACTATTAAAACCCTAAACCCTACTATTAAAACTATATCTTAAAAAAACCCCATCACCTAAAATTCAATAATCATAATCACAATACCAGATTTAAAAATAGTGCCTTGTTAGAATCACATCGTCTGAGTAAGACTAGCAAGAGCCACATAGTGTTATCGACTAAAGTATATAACCTTTTAAAACACAATATTGATGCTTATCCGCAAGAAAAATTCAAGTCCTTGTTTTATAATTGGCTATTAGACAACCCTTCTTATAGCCTGGACGATTTGTTCAAATCTGGCCAAATAAATCTTTGATTGTATAACCCTGCTGCTAACCTGTTGCTTTATCAGGTCCTTATATTGTTGTTTGTTTAGTCATATGTACATATTTTAGTTATTAAGCCCCATTGTTTTGTCAAAATATTGGATGTGTTTTTTATTTTGTTTTGTTTGACGATTGATGTATAATCATGATTTTGACTTTGTCGGTGATCTAATGTATCCTTATGACAAATAAAGATTATTATTATTATTAAGTTCATTTTAAAACTTAAGTACCTAATCTACTAAGCTATAAAAATATTTTTTCCAACTTCCTTTACTTTCCATCCAAATAACATTAGATGTAAACGTTCGTGTAAACCACAAACATTTTGTTACAAAGATTTCAACGTCCTCGAATCTCGGCTCACTTTGAAGAACTGTGCAAATGTTTACATTCGTGTAATAATGCCGTCCTACAAAAGACGCTTTGGTTTCTTGGTACAAGCGTTTTAAACTGTCTGGATAAAGACTATTTTCTGTCATTTTAAATCAAAATGTACAAATTCTCGTTTTTTTTTTAAATGAAGTTTTTACTCCATGTTTTTCTTTTTTAATCTAAAACACTTCCTTCATACAGGCCAAACGAACAGTTTCATTTGTTCCAAGCTTCAAAAGTTTATAAATTTTCTTACCTTCAGTATGGAAGAACCGGCTTAAGTTAATTATTAGTTTGGTTCATTAATTATTATTAGTTTGAGTATTGTATCGTACTAGTACTGAAAAATGAAACAAGATTCCAATGAATATTTCTAGATTCACATGTAAAGTATCAAGAACACAGTGCTAATCGAACAAATAGCATTGAACTATTTGTCTATCCTTAAATACAATATTTTGTAAAATATCTTTAGTCATATTTTGATTGATACTCCAAAAAAACCGTCTTCCTCTAAACGATGCTATTTATTCCCTTAGTTTATTATTATTTTATTAAGTGTAATTACCAGTGGATTTATAAAGGAAGGTTTTTTTAAAGAATTTATTTAAAGCGCATCCAAGTATTTGCGACAAAAGTAGTTGTTTTTGCATCCAAGTCGAAGCTCTCTTATGTATATTGATGAGCCATGCAATCTATTGAAGGATTTGTAAAATCAATGGTGGGTACCAGGCTGCGCTCTCCTTGCATTGTAGTTGACCCGATTTGCTTACGTAATTGATATTGGTTACTTTAAAGCTTCGGTACACCAATCTGGTTGTTAACGGCTTAGCAACCAAGTCAGGATAGTTTTGAATCCTTCAAGGACTTAATTGACGATTTTGCTTAGGAAGACATAACATTATTTTGTAACCTGAATTGAAACTAATTATTTTCGTTTGTTCAATTATTGTTATTTACTTGTACAATATTGTTGTTTTTGTATGTAATTTATAATATTTAATGTATTGATGGTTTGATCTTCTTTATGTTAACAAAGGAAGTGGACTATATGCTATGGCCACTTTTTCCATTTGATTCTGTATCATGGGTTTTGCGAATATGTCTCTAAATAATGTGAAACATGTTTTGTAGGTTCAACAAATTAATAAATGCATTCACGTTTAGGGATTGCTGAAATTTATTCTAATAATCGGATTGCTGAAATGAGATGAAATGGATACATGTTATTTTACATTATCCTACAATTGGTGAAAAGTGTGATAAAGTGATTTGTCATTCATTGCCATCAGGTATCATAACAAAGGATTTTTTTGTGTTTTCAGGACAAATTACAATTTACAAACACAATGATAAGCATGTTTATATTAAACACAAATAAGTTTTAATGCATTCGTTACAATTCTCTGACAACATAGGACAATTTAGATATTAGACCTTTTTACCTTCTGGATTTATTGAATTATATGATAAATTATTAAATAAACCAACTGTCTTAAATTACATTGAGCTACATCTGGATATAGTTTTGAGATTGATTTTTTTAAACAGTTTATGTATGAAAGGTATCACCGCATTATAAATTAACTGCTCGAGCATTTTATGATACATTGAAGAGAAAAATATAACTGAAGTATTTTAGTTTATAAATTTACATTTCAACTATTTTGCATTTTTTACAGTCCAGTTCCTTCACAGGAAGGTGTGAAAATTAGTTGCAAGGCTATTTCTCTCCGTTACCAAAAATAAAATAAATAAATGACAATTTCAGAAAACTTGTTTGTAAAAGATGGCTGGCAAAGGCTTAGATTTGTTGACTAGTGATATTTTTAGAAATATCTAGTTCAATGTCAATGGTTTTTTTTTCACCTTATGATATCATTGCATCATCATGATATTTTGAGAAAGTATGGGTGTTCCCTTGTGTACTTTGTCAAAAAATAAACTTGTAGTACAGCAGTTAGTTTTTCTACTATACACGCATGCCCCACTTTACATACATTTCTGAGACGAGCCTTTTTTTCAGGAATTCCTTCTGGCCATCGACGTAACATCGTCAGGAACCCCAGAGGAGAAGCTCAAATGGGCGTTTAGAATGTACGATGTCGACGGAAACGGCGTAATAGACATACAAGAAATGACCAAAATTGTTCAGGTGAACCTATATGTAACTGCTATTGTGATTAAAATTGTAATATTGTCTCTAATGGACACAGTAAGTTGGTTTACTTGCTACGCTATTGGGCTCATGACTGTTTGAAAAATAAATTGCATAAATTCTGATGAAGGGGATTTGAAATTAGAAAAGGGAATTTAGTAACAGGATTGTGGTAAGCACTACTAAAGAAATGTAAAACAGGAATACCTTAAAGAAAGTATAAATCATTGTTTCAAATGTATGAAACAATGATTTATACTTTCATTGGGGGTAGATCTATTCTGTTGTGTATTGCTCAGTGTTCAGTGTTGCTTTCCCTCTCATCCTTTAAACAGGTTATTCTTGCATTCAAAACCTACAATTTGTAGTTATCAAGAATACATTGACATGTGAGCAGTTGTCAATTGATCTCTTTGCACAGCAAAAACAATGTATTAGTTATGTTAATTATTAGGGTTTAAGTTAGGGGTTAAGTTACACACCATCCTTCAAGATCATTTCACATAGGTGTGTAAGTTTGTTTGCGATTGTTTTAATTTTGTTAATTGATCAACCTTGTTTGGTGACAGGCGATATACGACATGCTCGGAGCATGTTCTTCTAACCGACCGGCCGATTCAGCGGAAGAACGAGCCAAGAACATCTTTGCCAAAATGGACGAAAACAACGATGGTCAGCTGACGCAAGACGAGTTCCTCAAAGGCTGTCTCCAAGACGAAGAGTTATCGAAAATGCTTGCACCATAATAAACTCGTTTCCATTCTTTGGGAATCATCTTCTTCTTAATTTTTTGGAATGGGTGTAGTGATATAGATCGCATCCAAGAATCGGGATCTGTTCCGTTTTGATTGGCCGAGCTACCGGCTTCAAGGGTTCCAGGACTCAAATTCGGTTTGTTTTGAATGTTTGCTGTTTGATGAGTTTTCCACGAAGATTCGGTGCTTGCTTGCCAAATGTTTGTCGAACAATTAAACACCGAACTACCCCAGACGGGGTATTTTGTTTTGTTCTCGATAAGTATTTGTTTACAGTTTAGATGTTATGCGATTTAAAAATCATTACATTCCATTGTCTGATATATTGTCGGACTCTTACTTCGATCTTTCTCCGTTCATCTTTTGAATGAAATCCTTTGTCATGACTCAGATTTTAGACTTTGTACACCAAGCCTCTATCCTCGCTAGCGTTTTAGATCGCAGAAGGTTAAATGACACGGTTGAGAGGTGATTTGGGCTTACACATCACGTAGGACCAGATGTAGTAGTTTTGTAAAAAGATATACATACATATACATATTACCTTTCTAATGTTCTATCTTATAATGTTAAGTTAGTAGGACAGAATGAGAGTACTTCAGTGGTAGCTATATTATTAATTTTAAAGATTTTGAGTTTAAATTTTAACTTTGTAGGTGTAAATTTTAAGAAAATTAATTATTTTTCAAATCGTTTGTGTGTTATAAGAGTTTTTTACAGCATTCTATGACTTATTAATACACGGTTAATTTTTAATATCACTTAAAATGCTATTAATTAGTTTATTATTTTCCAACGCTATTGAGGACCCAAAAAATGTTCTTTTAATTTTCTATTGCACTTTTTTTATTTTTGTTTTTTTTTCAGCACTAATTTATTGGGGTGTGCCAAATAATGTTAACTTTGTCTTAAGTATCAAATAGGATGATGACTTCCATATTTTCATACATTGTAGATAATATATCAAATCTTTAATATTTTTTAATTGTCTTAAATAAATGGCCTAAATATTCATATTTTGTAAACACTTCAATATTATACTGTTTGAAAAATATACATTTTCCTAGTTTAAAATACTTGAAATTGGAGATATGTAAAATTGGTTTTTCGCTATTTCATATTGGGGAAACGGAGAACAGGCCACCTCTGGCCCTAATTCGCATATAGAAGTTTGGTTAGGTTAGGTTAGGTTAGAAAATAAGGAGTAGTAAAATTCAGGATTTCAGATGATTTATTAAAACCAACATACATGATTTATTTGATTTTAAAACATACTCATTTCAATGACTTTTTTAGATTCTGTCTTTTTAACCTGAATGAAATATTGTAGTTTGCTTAAAATATTGTAAATGAAATTTGAAAAAAAACGTTTGTATGGAACCTTAGTTATATAGGTCAACCTCTATTTCGTTACCTGATAGTACAAAGACAAGTAGGAGTGATGAGTTACAACTTCATTAAACAAAAGCAAAAATCTCAACTCCGTAGGCTGACTGAAAGTTCCCATGAGTATGAAGTCATGATAAGTTTGGGATTGATTGTTTTTAGCTACCACTGAGGTACTGTGTAATTCAGTTTTGTAAGGGAAACACAAATAGGTCCATCCAGTTACCTTAGAAACTTGCTGGAGTGTCAAGCCATTTGCCATTTGCTGGTTCGTAACCTTACTCATGTTAGAGTTACGATTTAGATTGTCACATTTCTAGGCTTAATGATGGAGGGTTGATGAAACTTGGAACCATAAAAATTTCGGTGTTAAAACTCTAAGTCTAACGACCATAATTTGTTTGCCATTTAAATGGACCAAATAAAATTATAGCTTGTAGTTTAAATTACTAAAATCACAATAGAAATCATCTTTAACACTAGGATTACTTGCAAACCATTAGTTTCTTAGGTTCTAGGTTTTATGAGATGTTTTTGTGAAATAGTATTGTTGTTAATCCTTATTGAAAAGTAGAAGATTTATTTGAAAATGGATTTTGTTTTGAAACTCAATCACGCTTACGCCCATTGGCTCGGCTGTCAGTTAACGCCTTAAGGAAACTGAACTGCCGAACAATTATTTCAGTTGGGGATGCAGTTTTTTTCTGTATACTTAAAGATGTTTTCTATATTTTTATAAAGTCGTGACTTAAAAGTAACATATTAAAGCATCATTAAGATTACATGATTATTGTGTCACTTTTTGAAATAGTTTTTTAATAAACTACTACTTGCTAGTCACCCTGTTTAATTTTTAAAAACATGTATGTTCTGTTACTCAGTATGAAGATAAGTGTAGAAATGAATGTTTTAGCTTTGTGTGATTTTAAGATCGAATATGCTTGACAAAAAATAATTAAATTTTAAATAAAACTATATAGCAAATAGTTCAAACTGAGTACATTTAAAAAGGTTAAAATATTTAGTATAATCATTGTATATAAACTATGTTACTTATGATCTCAGAATTTCAAATGTCACTTACAAATTGAAAGCCAACAAAACTATAATTATTGCATTTATTTTTCAATTTAAATATGTAGAGAGATACACATACAACAGAAAAATAATATTAAAAAATGACTAAAGTTTGCTGTTATTTTTACCTCTAAAAACCTGGATGATATGGGTACACATATCCAAAAGCCTAAAATGTGATACTGTATTAAATTCCTTTTTTCAGCTTTGCATTGGCGTTACCATTAGTATTATTGTCTATTAAATTAGTATATTATCTCTCTGTCAAGTTTTGTTTAAATATAACATTTTAAGGGGATTATGTATCACCTTTTGTTAAGTTTAGGTATTTTACAAATGCTAAACCTTCTTAAAACGGAATTGACATGTCTTAAAACAAAAGTCAATTAATCATATAAGAAATTTTGTAATCGTTGTTTTAATAGTGTTGTTAATACAGATAATGTTTAATGGATTAGTTATAATACCATCCAATGAAACAATTTTACCACATATTCTAAGATAGCAAAGATCTGTTATCAAGATGGATCAACAGTTGCCATATTTTGTGCCATGTTTGTATTTATTTCTCAGGATGACTTAAAAATATATTTGCTTTGAAATCGACTAAGTGAAAATATTGCAACTTTTCTGTTGAACTAGGATTACGAATTTAAAGCTAATTGAAATCTGCGGTGGTAAAGAAAGTGAGCCGAAACAAATATTTAATACAATGTTTGATTATTAATTATTGAAATAATTTAAGAAAACTTAACCCTTTTTGTAAATTTATGTACATTTACTTCCTATTTATTGCTTATTATATAGTTAAATCACTTATAATGTTTGCTTTTAGGTAATCTTATATTACGCACTGGTATAGTAAATGCAATCAAAGAAGTATAAAGCAAATCATGACATACTTGTACATGTGCAAAAATCAATGATTTTTTATGCAATACTGCTTGTAATTGTAAATATTGCAAATTATTTAGAAGCTGTACGGCTGCTTTGATTAAGTTTAGCTAAGTATTCATACCAGTACTTATTTATAGGTTAACTAAATGATTGTTGTTTATTTAATTATGTTATTTAGAGGTTGTTTTTATGGCACAACATATTGTTAATAGAAGGCAACCTTCACAACTGATGTAAAACTGATTTAGTTTGGAAATCACCCATTGTGCTCAAATTAATATAGTAAATTGAGAAATTTTCTGACACTTCATGTTAAGTATTTTATAATTTATTTAAAAATATGAACACTATTTTAATTAGCAGGGTGCAGGGTGTTTATAAAAGAATGCCGAGATTTTAAACGGTCGTTGCTCGGGAATTAGTCAAGATAATGAAATTATTTAAATGTCAAATTGAAGGAAAAAGAACAAAGTTTTTCTCGTATTTTGATACAATTCAGAATAATTGAATTAAATTCAGATTTTCATCGATCTTATATAAGCATAAAACTGGCAAAGTCTGTACGATTATGGCGATTGACGAGTTTATATGATATCTTAACTGAAAATTTTAGGCACAAAGACTATCTTTTAAACATCATAAAGTGTTGATTTAGGTATGTTCAACTGAAGACTTTGTCGGGCATTCAATTTTTTGGGGGCTTCTGATGCAGAACTGTTGCATTTCTTCGACGATGCCATCGCTTGTTTTTAGCCGGCTAGGTGAATGTCTTTTCAAAACACTACGGTGCCAAAAAACTCATTCAACCAGCGTCAAATTTCTTTATCATCAAGTTTATTTATATTTGGCTTAATTTAACAATCGATATAAACTCTGTGAACCACAGATTACACTCAGTGTCTTCTGTTGTGCCGCAAACATCGTACTGGCGACTGGCGTCATGCGAGTTAGTTGCAATAGTGGCCTATCACCCCGCACCTGTTTTGTGCATGCCAAGATCAAAGTTTCCTCCCTTGCTACATGGGAAACAAAACTTAAGTTATTTTAGCTTTAATTTGACGTAACAAATGTTTCGTTACCGGTACCTTGAATAGTATCCAAGCAATTACAGTTTTAATTCGCGGCATTCTTTTAAAAACACCCTGTATATTTTTTAAATCAAGTTAAACTAAAACAACAAAAAGTGTTTTTATTTATTCTTAAAATGTACTTTGTGTTGCAGTTTTCACTTTTCTGGTAACGCTTATTTTTCAACTGTACCTAGTGTTAAACACAATTTTGCTGTGCTATTTGTAAGTTAAAATGTTTTTGATATGTTCAATAAAAACACATTACAATCTAATGCGTCTTGGAACTGTTACAGACACATTTTCCTTTTGAAATTTAAAAACATTCCATTCAGAAATTGAGTTGTTAGATGAAATATAACTAAAACGATTAGAAGATTAGACAAACTAAACTCCTGGCAATTTCAAGCAGGACAATCACGATGTGAGGCGAAAGTAAAACTCACTTTGCTTTTTCCTCACACACTTTAGTTTTAATCAGAAATTGTTATAACAGATATTATTGTTGTTTGTATCTAAAATAAACCAGTAAATATAAAAACTAAACAGTTGTCAGTGAATGTGGCGTTCGGTCAGTATAGGTCAGCAACTAGCTCGTGACGGTCTCGTACTTCTCCCACTGGTTATGTAGGGTCCTTGCGAAGGCACAATTTTCTGCACACTTTTATATTTTTGTACTTATATTTCTTATGCACATATGTATAAACTGTAACTATTTATATATATTTTTATGTATCTGTATTTAATTGTGCCCATTTTTGTGTTCCTTCTCCCAATGTGAATTTTATTGTAAATTTGGTTTGGATCCTGAAGTGTATATTGTGACATGATGGCAATCTTACAATAAGATTTTGATGTTTAAATGTGCTTGTTTTACTAATTCCACCACGTTTTATCCGTACTCTAACCATAAATGTTTGGGAAAATAAGCTTGGTGTATTATAAAATCATTTTCAAGCGTACAAATATTTAAACAGATTACAATTTATTTAATAGTTATTTTTAATAGATCTGACCGGATCTAAACCATGATTTTGAGTATCATTGCAAGGTTATTGAGGTTGAGAGAAAGAGAAGAAATAGTTTTAGGTTAAAGGTACTCAATTAGGAAATCCAATAGGAGACCAGCCAATATGCTTAGTATGTAAAATTATCATGGTAGGGTATGTAGATGTTTTTGAAAGAACTTGATTCTTCGCCTGGTAACTTACCAAACTACTGAAAACTTCCTACCTCGCAATGGATAAACCCCAAAAATGGTACATCTGGATTACTCGTATTTCAGTAGTGATAATTAATCTCCTAACTGGAGTTCCTACAGTTAGTCGACACTTTTGTTATGTTTTGATATTTTTCTCTGTTTAGAAGATAGTTGATCCATATACAACATAATATTGGGTTTTTATAAATATGAGCCTAAATTCACAATGGAGATTTTACTCACTGCTGCAATTAATTTAGCAAAATGAATAAGAATAAGAAAGTTTGAGAGACTCAAAGATCAATTATACATTCCAGAGGAATTGAAATATTTACTCAGAAAAATGAAATGTGCAGTAGAACTTATGAACTTAGCCAAAGATGAAAACTTGTGATTGTTCATACTAGTATGATAATGCTGTAATACCTGTGTGTTTGAAAGAATGAAAGAAAAAAATTAAAAAGAGTTTTATTTTATACTAATTTTTACTTCTAGTAATTGAAATTGACAAGTTTTAAGTTCAATTTATAATAATGTTATTTAGTTCCAGGTAACACCAAAGCAATCTACGACAAGAATTCTCCGGACTGGTAAAAATATTATATTTATCACAGTTTAAATTTAAATCTTTGGACGTGTGACCAAACACTTGGCAAAATAAAATTTACCAAATGTATAAATTTATCAAGTTAGACAGTTTTTGTTAATATAGCACTGTGTAGATTGTCTTTTTCAACTTTTCTCTCTTTTTTAGGTTCCACCTGAACTAATCTGCAATCATTGGCGTGCTAGTGTGATATTAGATAATGGGAAAGCAGAACAGTAAACTCAAGCCAGAAGTACTTGAAGATCTTAGGCAAAACACAGAGTTTTCAGGTAAAGTTGATCACTATTTTTGACAGTGATTGGTTAAAAAACCAGTTGGCCACTTCTAGATTAATTATTTTAGTTTGTCTCACTTTATTAGGCCTATATTTTAAAACACATACTCCTTATATACATATTCGTAAAACCCGATTCAAATGTGTTCTTGTGGAATTATGCAGCAAGGCACTGAAAGTTAAGCAACAAGTTAGTTGTGACAATATTGTGGTAAATTTATTGATGTACAATAATTGTTGTGCATTTATAATTATTTAAAAATCAATAATTAACTGGAAAATTCATGCCATGCCAAAAAGATATTTAAGATTCAAAAGAAATCATTTACACCGAAGAAGTCCTTGTAAAACATTTTCCAGGAATATATAGATTTAACATTTTATAAACAGTATTTCTTGGAAACATTTTTCTGGGTCGTTAAAACTCACTCTGTATAAGAAAATCGCCCATTTCTGTACAGCTGAGCTTTAATAAAATTTTTGATTTCCAATTTATTAGTGATGGTCGGAACCAAATATCGGACTACCGGATCCGCCAGATCCAAGCTAGAACCAGCACCGGATCGGATCCAAAAAATTCCGGATCTTGGGCTGGATCCGGTTTTGATGGATCCGATTTTTTCCGATTTTCCCCGATTTTTTTTAGTAGCACAAAGCTGTCTGTATCCATGTAAAAAACCGATTTTTCCAGATTTCTTTACTCAATGTCACAGTACTGTATATTACGACGCCAATAACCTCTATGGTTGTGCAATGTCACAGTACTGTATATTACGACATCAATAACCTGTATGGCTGGGCAATGACACAGTACTGTATATTACGACTTATTAATTTACTCTTAATTTATTATGTTGACGCCATTCAATGTACAAAACTGTACTTTATGAATAAAGCATATTTGATTTGGTTTGATTTGAAAAAAAATAACCTGTATGGTTGGGCAATGTCACAGTACTGTATATTACGACGTCAATATTCTGTATGGTTAGGCAATGTCACAGTATTGTATATTATGACGTCAATAACCTGTATGGTTGGGCAATGTCACAGTCACAGTACTGTATATTACGACGTCAATAACCTCTATGGTTGTGCAATGTCACATTACTGTATATTACGACATCTCAAAACGGCCAAAACTTAAGAACAGATCCTAGGGTTTGATTTATTTTAAACTTTATTTTTCTGAAATAGATAGCTAAATTGTCCAGTGCCAACATCCCACACTGCTAATAGCAACACTCAAACTTGTTGGTAAGCTAGTTGTAGGTTACAATTAATTATTATCCCTGTGACCGATTCAGTGTAACATCTGACATCAGTCAGAATCAGACGACATTATTGACAACGACTTGACTTGACAACCAACAAAAAGAGTAATTTAGTGATGATAATTATTATTAAAAGCATTAAAATTAATAAAAAATAAAATATATCGCTCGTTTATATTGGCAAAATTATTAAATAAACAGTAATAAAGCTGAGGATAATGTAAGAATAGTTTTTTAATGGATTCAAAACTTATTACTCTGGAAAGTTTTATAATGTAATACAAATTCTTATACATCAAACAATTTAATGAACTGGAGCAAAGTCGAGTCGTCCTCTTTCTCTCTGTCTCAAGTTGACAAAATTGTATGTCAGAAGCTAATACACGTCAGAAGTACAACAGTTACCTCGGAAGAAAGTGCTTCAAGAGCTTTCTGCGCATCCGCAAGCTGAGGTGCCCGTGGTTACAGAACGTCGAGTTATGTCTTAAAATGTAAACAAATGACAATAATGGCAGAATGTTTTCTCATGAGGCCCATGTTAAATTTTCAAAAGTTTGTACTCATATCACCGCGAAAATAGATTTTTCCTGGCTATACCACTGGTCTAGAACTTATTTTTGACCCAGAACTTAGTTATTCCGTAAATATAAACGTTTTTGTTAGAGCCGATTACCAGATCGAAGTAACAATTATTCAAACTTTACTCGTGTTATAATATAGGATACTTTTCCTGTTCCTTGCAACCAAAGTTCCTGCTGAGCTCAACAGGAGCTCTAATGTATGTATTATTTTATAATCTGAATTATTGTTCAAACATGTTAATTTTAAAAGAGAATTTCAATACTATCAAATAATATTTTTTACTAGTGCACATGTTGCTAGAATTTGAGCTATTGCAAAGTATTACAGGCGTTATTTCAAAACAAACAGTCATAATTTCCGATGACTTAAAAGAATCCACTCAAAGATAATGCCATCAATCACTCCACTCCAGTTATCGAAACTGAAAACGAACGCTCTTGTGTGTCATGTGTTTACTATGAACAGCTGTAATTAATACAAATTATACATCTGTTTAAGTAAACAAAATCCTTTCTTCATAAGAAATACATTGGAATTTTGATGGCCTGTGGGGTAAAGCCCGAGGACTTCTATTACAGGAATTGGTGAAAGTCTATACAAAAAAATCTTAATTTTGACACATCATTTGTAAAAATCCGTCCATTATTAACGGAGACTAGTGTTTCGTAGAAATCGCCTTCACGTATTATATATAAGGATTTAAAACCAAGAAGGTTTGTGTGATTATTTACACTCTGATGAAAATTTTTCAATCTTCGTCACAAAAAGACATTCATCATTTCGGGACTTGATAGCTGTATTCGTCACTCAGCTTTTACTCACTAGTATACCCTGTTACTAAACAACCAATATCTTGATTAAAAGTTTTTTATGTGTAAACCACTATCTTTTTCCTGAAATGGGTCACTGTCAGGACAAAAAATAGTAAAATATACTATAATTATAATTGTTTATTTAGGATTTGGATCTACTTTTGCTTTGTTTTGCTAGATGCTGAGATACAAGAGTGGTATAAAGGTTTCTTGAAAGACTGCCCCAGTGGCCACCTCAGTGTGGACGAGTTCAAGAAAATATACGGAAACTTCTTTCCCTACGGCGACGCTTCTAAGGTAAATGATATTGAGCACTGAATAGCTTACCTTCATGTCAAGTAAAATTTAATTTACAAAATATATTTATGGTGGTATGGCAATATTTGTTACTGTGGTACCAATTTGAAAAATCAAACCTCTTGAACCTGATCACTTTGATCAGTTCAACTCTGTTTTTTTAATTCATAGTAATGTTTAACGTTCCAGTAGTGATGGGACAACCGACTGGAAAAAACAATCGACTAGTCAATCAGTTGTTTTTAAAACCAGTCGGTTTTTTCAGTCGAATGAAAAACCGAGTGAATTCCACTACAACTGGTATTCAATCGGCGCGACGGTTTCAGCATGTTTCAGTCATTGTAAGGAATATAATCGGAGGAAATAACGTTTGAGCTTTTGTTGTTGATTCATTATTTGATGTGTTTTGTCTTGAAATGTTATGTGTATTATTACTTAATAACATTTAGTTTATACAGGTCAAGTTATAAATTATTCAGTAGTCCTACTATATCAAACCAAACAAATAAAACAAATAGGAATATTTCTTTTACTGAGGTAAAACAAATGTTTCTATTTGTGTATTACCTGATTATGGTTTTTGAAGCAGATATTACTGTATTAGTCATTTAACAGTACAACTAAATCATGAGTACTTAAAAAAACAGTGACTTATAAATTAAACATCTACATAAAAAATACACATAATTACATTATTTTAATTACCTAAACACTGTTCACAACACGTGTATAGTACGAGTTTATCTACAACCGTTTTCATTCTCCACACCAGTCAGTCTAAACAACAGTCAGTGGTCCTTACGACTAGTTTCAATCACCGACGTTTGACTGTTTCCAGTTATTCAAACGATTGGTTGACTGGTTCCAGTTGCCGTAGGACCGGGAGTATGAAGTAACTAGTTTCAATCATATCCGGGAGAACAACCGACTAATCGATTGAATCGGTTGTTTTCAATCAGTTGTTCCCATCACTACGTTCCAGTAGTAGGAAATGAATTCTTACCAGTTCCCCCTCCCCCATTTCTTGTTTGTTGATTATGAAAGTTGTTTAAACAACAAAAATCTGCAATGTTACCTCTATCCTTAACATAAATTAAATGTTGAGAAAAGGAAACGCATGGAACAGTCATTATGCTGAGAAGTACCAGTAACTCTTACCACAATCCCTCAACTCTAAACCAAACAGGATTCTTATTACCCTCTTAATAATGTTATTACTTTTTGACCAATCAGTACTCAGGCTTGTAGTCATCTTCAGTAAAAAGCAACTCCATCCAATTTATTAATAAAGTTATTTGTATGCTCTTGGCTTTGTAGTTTTTGGCCAAGAGAGATGCCAAGAAGCTTTACTGACATGGTCATATTATATTGTTCAATTTGTCTCAAAGCAAATATCATTTCTGTTTTACTTATACTTAATTTTAGATGGTTAGTTTAAACCAAACAAAAAATTGGCGGGATACAGTTTCTCATTAATAGGATTATATCACATTATCAATAGAGTTTCCTTACAAACACACATGTCAATTGCAGTTAGTATGGTATCGCAATCTAAATAAATTGTGATCGTGAATGCGATCACGACAATCTAAGCCCAGGACTGAACGTTGTGTTACCCCAGTAAGAACCTTCTTAAAAGATTTTGACTGATCGGACACCAAATGTAGCCTACCACCAAGTCATATTTTCAAAAAAATAAACTTTTCAATATTTGTCCCGTACTTAACCGGTGGAAACATTATTTCAGTTTGCCGAACATGTGTTCCGGACGTTCGATGCCAACGGAGACGGTACCATCGACTTCCGGGAGTTCCTGTGTGCATTGTCCGTGACGTCCCGTGGCAAACTGGAGCAGAAGCTCAAGTGGGCCTTCAGCATGTACGACCTGGACGGCAATGGCTACATCTCACGACAAGAGATGCTCGAGATCGTTACCGTAAGTTGTCAGGACTCTGTAGTGTATTGACATTTTTATATTGAAATGGGTGATTGTGCAGTAGCTGTATTCCACCTAGACATCTTTGACTTTTACCTATCTTGAAATTTGTACGTACATTCAGGGCCGCTTTAAGGGTCAGTAGAGCCCTGCAATTTAGCTATGGAAATAGCTCTTCAAGAAGTCAGAAGGACAGAGGTATGGATTACAAATATAAATATTCTAGCATTTGCAGATGACATAGTATTGAAGCACTTAAAAATGTGACAAACGTTCTTATCAACCATACAAGAAAAATGGTATTGAACATCACCAAACTCAAAATATATAAGGCAATAACCAGTTCCCCTGTATGGATCAAAAAATTGGATTATAAGTAAAAAATAAACAGAAAAGAAATTTATAGTATTTGAAAACAAAACCTTCAGATATGTGGACCCCATAGCAAACTCAAAATCAGCGCCCCCCCCCCCTTTTTCCTAGTGCGGGCGGGCAGTAGTTTTACTGCCCGTTTATGAAAGCGGACCTGGGTATATTTTTCCCAGTGTATATTTCCTTATGGTGAACACAAATTCATAAAATGTTATTTTACAGTAAAGTTACTATAAATGTGTACATTAAAGAAAAGATCATTTGTTTCATTTTTTTAAGTGCAGTAAAATTGTAATTACTGGTTTGTCTCATTGTAAACTCTCCTGATCAATTGTTGGATATCCATTAAACACTGTGTAAGCTTGTACAAAACCTGATCCCGATTTTTTATTTATCTCTGTGGAATTAAAATGAAAATTTTATAACATTGTTGTAATGGAAAATATGGTGTTTATCCATTGCTACCAGCTAAAGGAACAATTTTTTTTAGTAAGGATTTTTTTATTAACCATGAAATTTGCTAGTCTATTGTTCTATGCCTAATGTGTATATTTGTATATTATATTATATAATAAATCTTCTGTCTAAGGCATTTTCTCTGTAGTAAAAAGTGAAAGAGTTCTTCTGCGTAGTAAAAAGTGTTTTAATACAATGTTTACTTCACCTAGGCAATTTACAAGATGGTGGGTTCAGTCATGAAAATGCCCGAAGACGAATCCACCCCAGAGAAGAGAACGGACAAGATTTTCCGACAAATGGACAAGAACCAGGACGGAAAGTTGTCTCTGGAAGAGTTCATAGAAGGAGCCAAAAGCGACCCATCCATCGTTAGGTTGCTACAGTGCGACCCTCAGGCCCAATAATCAACATTATCATATTAATACAAACGTACAAATTAATTTATTAAACTAAATAGTTTGTTCGACTTAAATTGAAAAGCACGATCGGTTACAATCACATTGGATCGGTTCTGAAGATAAGAAAAACGTCAAAGACGAGAGAATCTGCATTTCAAGAGCAATCTCATGTGAAATTTCTCACTTAAAAATGTTTTTATGTAAATTTGTAAAATAAAGTAAAAATATTTTTTTCTAAGTAGTGGAGAATAGTTTGGTGGTCATATCTCAGTCTTCCTCAGAAGGACGTCGGGATGTAATGTGGTTGTAGCGTAGCTTCGCTCATATCAGGATAGACTTTCCACGATTCGTGCGCATTTTGTCAGTTTTGTGTTATTAATTGTATAATATCCGATTTCGTTTGTTGTTTTGAGTGCTATGTACATTGTTTAGAGTTAATGTAGTGCTATTTTTTAACGAAGATATCCTATGAGTTAGAGTTTTGTAACGAGGGTGTTACGTCAATTACAGTTCAAGTTGACTGTTTGTATCTAGACTCGTTCGTGCCCGGGTGCTATCACGTTTGTTTCAGTGCTTCAGCGAATCAGTTAAATTGGTGTTTCTATTAACTAAGAGTATTTCATAGGCTTTTCATTGTAGTATAGATCTGTTGTCGAGGGAGATTTATTTTCTGTTATACATTATTTAATAGTGTTTTTGTTTTAAAATGTTCTTATATTTACTAATCCAAATAATTATACTTTTGTAACTTCTTTTTTTAGTATTATTTATGGTGAAATTGAGAGTTTTGGAATAATAGATATGAAATAAGATAAGTTTGATTGAAATGTGTTTCCGTATGAGATTGAAGTGACCTTATTTAATTCTAACTTTGTAATGAGCCACCACACCGGGTTAGTCCATTTTCTAGTCACGTCGCACTTCAATGTTTATCGTAAGCTCTGAAATACTCTTCAGTTAGCGCTGGCCATATCAAATACTTTCCGTAATTCTATCTCGTTGTTGATTGTTAAAGGTGTTAGCTGTTCTAGAACCACTTATTAACCGTTTTCTACTTCGACACTCGGTGTCTGCATGTTGATATCTTGTATATGATCCGATCTTCGTCTAGACTAGAACTCTCCAAACGGTTTGTAGCACTGGTCACGTCTTCACGGATTGTAACATAATGTAAATAGGCTTGTTCATGTTCACTTGAAAAATGTGATAAATTAAAAATTAATAGCAGATTTGAAATAATTATTAACATTGTTAAATGTTAGCGCAAAATATTTATTTTGTAAATGGTACCGAGTCCATTGATTTTTGAAGTTAAGTAAGCCCTATTGTTGATCCTGAGGTTTTCTATTTTAAAGTAGTTTTAGGTTTTCTCACTGTCATCTTTCACCTACCCAACATTTTTTATACTTTGAATCGTTCAGGGTGCTAAGACTCATTTACAGGGTGTATAGAACAGTAAATCATGTCGTCTTAGTTTTTGTAGTCTACTCGTAAACTACCAGAACCTTTTGCAGTATTTCTTTTCTAAATGCACCATTTTTTAAATAATTGTTTACTCCATTAAGATTTTGGTGTGTTCTATATATATTGCCCTTCAGAAATATATATAGTAATTACAATATCTTGATGTAGTTGTACTATTAAGAGTTAAATTTTGCATGCATTTAGATAAACCCCCACACAGTTGACATCTTCACTTAGCTTCTTGTTATTGCTACATTCTCTAGACAGTGAATGAAGTCAGTTGAGTGTTCATTGCATTGAATGTTCAGATACTTCACACTTTATTTGACTGGATTTGAATATTATTTATTGCTCTTTATAAAAGAGATTATTCCCTCATTGTATCATCACATTTATTTTTTGTGTATAGCTCCATAGATAATTTTTAGTCAAATGCAAACTCCAAAGCAAACAGATTGAACATTTTTCTTTGAATAAAAACTGTTAACCATCATACTAAAAATAGTTACAGTATTTTATTCTGTTAGTAACAAGTCGTATGCATTTTTATATCTTATAACTCAGTGTTAAAGTAGTGAAATTCGGTTGTTTCCTTTTTACCATTTCTTGTTTTTATGGTATAACAAATTAAATGTGAAAAGTACTGTTCAACTATTATTAATTTTATTCGCTTTGGGGTTTTCAGTCATTGGTTATAGTCTGCTGTTTCTGCCTTAATGTGTTGTTGATTAGGAAAAATAATTTAAACAAGTATTATAAAGGGTAATCACTGTTTGTATTTTCACTCTAAGATTTTCTGATGGTTCAATTAACGGTTTTATGATTTCGTGAGATATATTCGTTTAGAATATATGAATTTTTGTCTACCTTTTTGAGTGCATGGATCTCTTATTTTTGTGATTACAGAATGACTTAAAATATTTAAAGTTTTTGATCAATAGCTTAATTCTCATACTCCATTTGGTTTCATAAGTATATAATTTTGCTTTGCAGTTTTATTTTCCTTCCATCATTGAAGCCATTTTTGTATCATGAGCTTTTTATTTTGTAATGTATGTTCTTTTTAATTAATAGTTTCACAACATCACAGAACTAATTTTGCTATTGCCTTTTGTTGGTGAACTGATATAAATCACCTAATATAACCCAATATAAGTCCAAGATCAATTTGTCTCCCTATACTCTTAGCCGTTTAATTTTATGATGTAATCAGACTTTATTGAGGCATTATAGGAGTTATAAGAACTGCCCTTTTGCATCGAATGTACACTTTCTTCCATCTCTGTTTGTAATTTAACTATTAGGCTTTAAAATGTATTACATAGTAGAATCTATATCACGATGAATTTGAACTTGTAACCGTTTTAAATTGTTGTGTTAACATCTCTATATAGTCACATTTATAACACTGTTGTACTCTTAGGTGAATTACAGTAATGTTTTGCTCAACATTAAGCTTTTAGACCTTCAAGTAACATGTTACTAAGTACGTTGTATTTCAGCCACATACAAAATGTGTTACCAAATAATTGTTCTATGAGATTTATTTACTCATTGATTTATTATTTCTTATGGAAAACAACAGTTTCAGCAGAATCTTGATTATTGTTTCTATTTGTGATTTTCTTTTTTAATAAAACTAAACCTTAATGCTAGTCGTTCACTTTTATCACTTATTATTTAAAAGCATGTTGCATGTTTGTTTCATTTCTATTTCTAGTTTTGACACCCAGCACAAAATACTGTTATTTTTTACCTGTTCCTCACTTTCCTCTTAGAATTTTCTGGTGAAATACTCTATTTTTTTACCTTTTTTGTTAATTCTGCTGTCGACATGTTTTAAAACCTTATTTTCTAATGTTTGGAGATTGGAAGTAATTAATTAATTTATAAATTGCTGGATTTTTACCTTACAGTGCATTAAAAGTGTTGCGCAAAATTGTTTGTGTTTTCTTTTAGTATAAAACCTGTTAATTTTATCATGTAATCTGATTTGACCAATACCAGGTGATACCAGGCGTTGTAAACTTTTAGTCGCCTAAAGAATATTCATTTATTTTTTAGCTCATTCATAAGATTTTGAGGGAGCTGCAATTGTATATTTGAAACTATTAACATTACAGAGATTTTAAGACCTAAGAGTAAAAATATTTCAATTTATAATATCATACCGGCAGCATAAAAAAGCAAAAGAGTATACTGTCCCACCGTAAGCCAACTATATTGAAAAAAGTTAACCAAGATTTCAAGAGTACTCCAATTTTTTTGTTCAGGCTCGAGATTAATATGTACAATGTTTAATTTTGAAAACTCAAGAACTGTTTTTGTATACAAACTGGTAACTATTTAATGCTTCAAAACCATAAATTTATATGGACATTAATTATAGAACCACCGGGACTTTCTATGTTAGCATAAATAGTTTATGGCAAAATGTTTAATACATATTTCTATTTAAATACAGTATCCATTCTTTTTTGGTAGTTTATTTGAATCTAGTGCAACTGTTGCTCGAATTCGAGCAATTGCAAAGTATTACAGGCGTTATTTCAAAACGAATAACAGTCATAATTTCCGATGACTTAAAAGAGTCAACTCAAAGATAATGTAATCAATCACTCCACTCCAGTTATCGAAACTGAAAACTAACACGAACACTCTTGTGTGTATCATGTGTTTACTATGAACAGCTGTAACTAATAAATATTATTCGTCTGTTTAAGTAAACAACATCTTTTCATCATAAGAAATACATTGGGATTTTGATAGCCTGTGGGGCAAAGCCCAAGGACTTTTATTACAGGAGTTGGTGAAAGGGGGCGTCTACACAAAAAAATCCTTAATTTTGACACATTGTTTGTAAAAATCCGTCCATAATTAACGGAGGAGTAGTGTTTTGTGAAAAACGCCTCCACGTATTATATATAAGGATTGCATTACCTACTAATGAAGGTGTTATAATAATTAAATGTTTTATTACCACTTACAGCATTATACCTCTTACAGAAAAGAGATTAATTTTCATTTTAGTAGAAGAGTCCCGCAAACTCGGTACTCGATGACCCGGCAGTCTGGATAACTCGGCCATCACCTGGGTCAGAAAATTTGTGATTTTTCGAGTTAAATATGTACGTACAGTATAAATTTTTGTATTTCCTAAGGCACCAAGGATTTGTTTTACTATATCTGATGACTTAATACTGACTTGTAATATATAAATATTTAAAAAAGGTGGTTGAAAAGCTTAAACATTGTATTGCTCTAATATTTAACAATAGTTCCCGATAAGCTGGAATTTCACAAACTCTGCAAGCCTTCCAGTCCACATTACGCCGAGTTTGCAGGACTCTAATGTAATTTTATTTTACTTTAAAATGAATTTTTTTTTTATTTTAAAAGTAGGTTTTTTATCAATGTCACTCAACTTTAAGGATATCGAATAAGTACTCTTGAAAAAAAATAAATATTTATTTCAAGTATTAGATCTAATACATGCTTATTGAAAGTAAATTTTTTATCCGTGTTACTTAAAGGCCTTTAATAGATTGTGCACTTTATTAGTTCTTGGCCTTGTAAAAATTTAGTCAAAACATCAATATTTTTCTAGTCTAATCAAAAAAAGTTTTTCTCCGGAGAAACTTTTCTGAGGGTTCACTGGGGGCCGAGCGGAGACGAGGAAGGTGAAATGCTTGTGCAGAGCGGTTCAATCACTCCCGTGGTGAGCGATCTTTCAATTTTCCTGTAAGATAAAACGTAAATTTGTTAACAATAAATCAAACTGTCCATTTTAAACGCTACCATTACAAAACACTACCTTAAAAGAGATCATATTGTGAATGTTAAAGTATATTTTTTTTATTTACTAAATGGCAATTTGTAAACAAATTTTAGGATCCCAAATGTAACTCTTAAAACCCTTTAATAATATACGATAGCTATTTGTATATGAAAGTTTCCATTCAACTTCTGTTACAGCTAATAGAGCTTGAGACCAAGGTCGAGTTACTTCATCCACCACTATTCTACCCAAGACTGAGACAGTGGCGTCGTCCTGTAATACAGCTACTAGGAGGTCACGAATTGTGGATATAGGTCCCCTAGTTGCCATTGGTTATTTGGCTATTAATTAACAGCTGTGTCAAAGGAATATGTCGGCCTTAGTCACCAACAAGACTACAAGATCGCGCCACTCATCTGTTAATACTTGGCTTTAAATACTTACATTCGTATGGTCGCCATTTCAAAGTAAAGTAAAGTATTAGCATCATTAGCCAAAAACAATGTGAGGGAAAATCTACGCTCCTACCTAGTATGGCTAGAATTATAGTGGATGAAGTAAACAAATTACGTCGGTTTATAATTTGAATCATCTCGCTTAGCTGCGACCAGAACTCAATGGAGACCTGAAGCTACGGACAGTTTTCGATTGCACTCTTGATTAGGTTCTTCTTAGTCATCTACCCTCAGAGATCAACAATTCACCTTAATCCTTATTTAAGTATAGCAACAAAGCCAAAAAAATATGTTCTGCACAAGTCGCATACAGTACTCAACTAACTTTTTTGTGAAAAAAACCAAAGTTTCACCAACAAACCAAACTATATACAATAATGTCCTGACAAAAGTATGATGATTAACAAGCTGAGAACATATTGGAAAACCCCTGAGGGAAAATAAATGTCAAGTGCTACATTTGCATACGGTAGGACTAAGCAAAATATTTCTTAGACTTTGTAAGATAAAAAGCCATCAAATGCAGGAAATTCAAGCATGGTCAGGTCTATGATGAGTCATGCAGAAAATGATTGCCTTTTAAAAACTTTATCCTGTGGATGAGAGAGAGCGTGATTTTATTAAACCAACATGTTTTCAAACTTTGTTAGTCTATAACACAGGCCACTCGACCAAAGATGTTTTTATCTATACACGGTTGGCAACTGCTACCATACGCTCAATAAACCATCAAATAATATGCGAAGAAAACAAATTAATCCTTCTAATTTACTTTATTACTAACAGAGTGAGAGAACAGTATGTGTAAAACAATTAAATTTTGTTGGTTAACAAGATTATTAATATTCTGGAAGAATCTGGAACATTCTGTACAAAGACTTACCGAACTGGAAACTCTTCTGAAGTATTTTAAGAAAAATGTATATTTTACTACCGCTGAGACTACTAAACAATTAAGAAATAATTTACAAAATTTCCTATCAACAAAGCACGTTACAAAATTAACGACTTACAATGGTGTAGTTATCTAAATTTTCAAATTATGTTTTGAGTTTTTTTTGTGTGTATATTCTCAGCATTTTCTTATCTTTGGTTCCATGTAACATATAAAAATAAATTATTTAAGAATTTACTGTAGAAAAAACTTACTTTTGTACCTATAGGTCTGGAATGATAATGACCTTTAACAGCTAGAGACATCTTTAAATACCTCTTGCATTTCATGTTCTACCGTCACATTGTAGACTCCCACAGAACCAATTTCACATTACATTAGCCATTGAGGTTCACAGCATTATCACATAAAAACCATTGGTAATTGAAGGGATTTGAACCTGGTACTTCTGGAACTGAAACCCCACACTACCACTCAACCATCAAAAAGTTTCGCCACCCAAACAAATACATGTTGAAAAAAACCCAACCAGTCATGCTGTTGCATGCTCTTCCGTCTTGAAGGGACCTGGACGTCACAGTTCATGCTGAGGGATCTCCCTTCTCCATGCTGTATTGTGTATTTACCTTGTAAGTGATGTTACTCAATGATACAGTACTGACTTGTACTTCCTTCTAAAGAAGTCCTCTGTGTGCTCAGCCCTGTAGGTGTGAGCCACCTTGTAGCTGTAGTGACGTTCCTTCTTGAACGCCGTGTAGTACACATACTGGTTAGGGTTGGGTTTGAAGGTGTAGGTTCGTAACGCTCTCTCCGCCCATGTTTGAGCGCGAGGCATTTCTCTTGTCAACCCGTGTTGTCTGGAAACAAATCATCTTTGGAATATCTGATGTAGAGAAAAATTAGGTTCCTAGTATACTATACAAGACCATTATACAGCCGAAGTTACTGTACAGAAGTGAGACAAAGGACGTTTAATACTTTTGGAAAATTAAATACTTTGGAAAATATTCGCCTCAGTTTATGAAAAAGCAGTTTGGGGCATTAGAAAATATAGGGAGCTACGTGAATTAAGCCTGATATAATAGCGCTTATAAAAGCCAAAAGGGTTAGTTAAGTCATGTACTTTGTAGACAGGAATGCGACTGAAGGAGGCTTGTGGACCTATATGAGACGTCCAACAGGCAGACCTTAAGAAAGGCCAAGTCAAGAAAGATGTTATCCCATGCAGAGGAGAGGAGAAACCACGATGGCAGAGAATCTGGAGGCTAATCTACGAGGAAAAAATAGACTGAGATTTGTGACACCCTAGTAGTAAGTAAGTATACTTTATTACACACACAATCACCATGCAGTATCTCCATACTCCAGTCGATAAGTTACCATGTATTTTAAATGATAATATCTGCGATACTAGCTGCCCTAAAAACATCAAGACCTGAGAAAATGCTCCGTTACTTTTGACTTTAAGCTTGTTACTACAATTTACTATTTTTAACTAAAGTCCAAATCACTTTACAATTGATACAAACTGAAATGATTTTTTTAGTTATTTATCTCTATTTACCCTCTGAACACTATCAATAGCTCAACCTATTCTGCAGCTAGAATTAACTTTTAAATCAAAAGTATTTAAATCTACAAGCATGGTAACTACAATATCGATAAAACCTAATACCAAATAGGTTTAGGTGTAATGGGTATCTATTACAACCTAATACTTAACCTATTATTACAATGTAATAATATTCACAAACCTGCGATCCAGGTAGTCAATGACATCATCGTAGTAGTTGTGTCTGTAGTCATAGATGTAGTGGTAGTTAAGGAATGTTGGTCGAATCCAGTGCCTGAAAACCAGCTTCCTTCTTGGCTCCTGTAGACACATCGTATCTTGGTTTAGAAAAAACTACAAATGCCCATCTGCTAGATATAGTATGGTTCACCACAATGTTTAATAACTAATGTCATTCATTAAAGGAACTTAATCATAAATGTGTGGATGGTCCGATGGTATACAAAATTAGATAAAAATATGGTTTTATATTCATTTTTAGCCAGGAAATAATATGTAAAGGAAATAAATGTATTCTAAAATCATCTCATAGTCCCTGACAAAGGTGCCTGCCAAGCTTCCCTCAAGATTGGTATTTTGGATAAAACAATAGGTCACATTCGACCAATATTTAGTAAAATGGATTCCAATCTACAAGCTTCAAGCCGATAAAACTTATAAGAAAGTTGTTTATGTAACTACTAAAAAATACTAAATAAAAACAAATAACCAATAATTATGGTAAACATCTAACTAGGAATTACTAGAACTAAATGTTCAAACAATATGCATCACGAAGCGCAGAAATCACTAAATAACAAAGCTTAGTAGACCTATTGTTTAAAAATAATGTTAGAAACCCATCTTGAGACGATTCTAATTTTTCTTGGGAAAACTATATAAAAATTTGACGGGCGTATCTAAAATAAGTAATGATCGAATTCGAAATTGGTTGATCGCATAATGGTGATTTTGAAAGAAAGCTTATCGAGGAATTGATTACATATAATATAACACCTATTACTAAAGCCGCAGGTGGAAATTGTGATTATAAGGATGATTGTCTAGTCTTCTAGTGCACCAATGCCATCCAAAAGTAAGTAAAGTCCATAAGTAAGGTTTCATAGTACCTCATGATACTGTACAGTAGAACATAGTTTACACAACAACCTCAATTACAAGAGCACTTTTCAAATCCCTTTGAATGTACAATTACCATACATTACCTCTGCAGTAAAACCACAATTTCTTTAAAAAAAACAACCTCAATAAGTTATCACTCCTTTCTTCACCATCTAACTCAGAGCCCATAACAAGTCATTTAGAGAAGTCAACCTTATAACATAACTCAATGTAAATGTATTGAACAATTCCCCCAAGAATTCACCGGAACGGATGTTTTTAAGCATTTTAGCGTCAATTCTGACTCAGGTTATTACTAGAACAAGTCTAAACTTAAAACCACTCCATCCCACTTTATAACACATAAACTAATCGTTTATGTCTTTTACTCAACGAAGATTTTATTATCTAACCAATTTTAAACTTTTACACAATAACATACTTTTGATCTAACATTTTGAAAATAAACTTGTTATCATAAGCATTTGCTCTAAAATGCACTCCTAAAGATACTCATAGTGCTTTCAACAACCTTGATAACACACTACCACCCGAAATGAGCTCAACCTAAATTAAGAACTGTAAAAGAAGAGCGCCTTGATAACAAGACAGTTTCCCTAATACCCTGAGACATTAATCGTAGTTATACTGTATGTTATTACTTGAAACACCTGGTTAGACTAGCCATATTTTGTCAAATTTTACTTACGATGACCTCGTTGTAGTCCCTGACAAACGCGCCTGCCATAGCCGCCTAGGTCGGGTACTCTGTCAGTGAGAACGTCTCTTGTCAGTCAGTACAAAGTAACACCTGCAGCGACAGACGCTTGCCAACAAACTGTCACGTTCTCTACTACTTTTACAATAATGTGATAGTGTGAAAAGTCTCTGACAGTGAAGGTGTCAAAGAACTCGTTTCATTTGATCTTCCTGAAGACTTTTAATAAATGTCTTGTTTGTAAAGCTGAAGATAATGAGACGGTGAGTCAGACGCTTCGGTTTGACTATTAAAGCTTATTGGATTTTAAGTGTTTTTAAGTGTTGTTTGATAATATTTTGTTCTATAGCACTTTTATAGTTCTCACTTTCAAAAATGACAGTCGGTGATTCGATACGAAGCAAGATCGTTTTCAGACCCACATTGGGCCTTCAGTTAATGATACTTAACAACAAAATGTTGACGTTAAATAAGAACAAGACCAAGGTTTAGACCATCCGATTAGAAAAAATGAGAAAAATGTCAAAGGCGTAGATATACACAACATAAAAAACATGAAAAAAGGTCATAAAAAAAGGTGAAAAGTGGAAATTTAGAGATCAAACTTAGACTTTCCAAAATTCAACTTGTTAATTTAGTATAAATCTTAAAGAATGGTTTCCTTTTAGGGGGAATATTTTAGAGAATATAAGATCTCTCTATTGACGATGTTGATGAGTTCCACTAATTAGTTCAGGCTACTATCCAACATTCTAAGGCAAAACTAAATGTAGATAGCTGTTGCATCAGAGAACAATATAGAGTTTTAAAACTCAATTTGGAGGTATTACCTACTAGGTGTGCAGTCTCAGGTCCGCCAATGGAGCGGAGTGAACAAAATAGTTAAGAAATAATCTTTTATTGTAAATAAAATTTGAATTTAAAAACAGACTTCCATAAAAACGTTTAATGATCAATACAATACTTCATCATACGAGTAGAGCACATAACGTCCATTTACTGTTTTTTAATGCTTGTAACTCTCCCTATAAAAATGGCTCAGCTAGTTCTTGTTCTTACTGGCAACAACGCTATATAAAGTAATCCGAGGATAAATTTTAATTTTTCCAGGTCAACCACAGAATTATCTTAATTGCATCCTTGACTGAGGACTGAGGTGTACCGAAATCACACAGGCAAGATAGTGGGGATTGCCTATGTAAACATATTTCTCCATTTAATTTAATGGAACCAGTTAATTATAAAGAAAAGGTAACAGCTCGTTGTTACCTCAGGTATCGGAGACTCAAAGAGACAATTAAGTGGGTTGGTCATCCAAACCTTTCATTAGTAAGATAAAAGAATCAATACACACTGTAACTGGTCTCCCAAATCAAAAGGTTAATAAATCCCCTATGAAAAATATTCCTTGTGGTGCAAAAGATTGTATAGAAAACTGTTAGAGCTGTAGAGACCTGACACATTCCGAGGTAAACTTGTTGTCAGAAAACAGATGTCATCGTTGCACAAAGTATGGCCATGTCAGTAAAAAGTGTCATGTCCGATTGAACTGCTCTCTTTATAATGATCGACATGCAAAATGTGTAACAAAGCTCAAGATAAATATGATGTACCATGTACCTAATGTTGTACATACCTTGTGAAAGTAACTTAGCTAACAATGCACACACTGAAGTATGTTTGCAAACTGTACGTGTCAATATTAAACCAGGAAATAAATAAATATTACATCAAGTGTAATTTTTTATTCTGGCCCTCAAAATGTCTACATTTTGAAGAAATCTCCAGAAGAACCCATTTCATGCATTATTGGTGGATCAGGCATTGTTGAAAACGATCAAGTTGTTCATGCCTTAAGTTGTCTGAATGGAATGCATAAATATTGCATTAAATATTCAATGAATTAAAGAATCAAGTTGAATATTTATAGTCAAAGACACAAATAAAACATAAATGGGGGTGGTGTGAAAGTATTACCTTAGGCGAGGGTAGTGGGAAGTGTTACCTTAGGCAGGGGTGGTGTGAAACCTTAGGCGAGGGTAGTGGGAAGTGTTACCTTAAGCGGGGGTGGTGTGAAAGTATTACCTTAGGCAAGGGTGGTGGGAAGTGTTACCTCAGGCGAAGGTGGTGGGAAGTGTTACCTTAGGCGGGGGTGGTGTGATAGTATTACCTTAGGCGAGGGTGGTGGGAAGTGTTACCTTAGGCGAGGGTGGTGGGAAGTGTTACCTTAGGCGAGGGTGGTGGGAAGTGTTACCTTAGGCGAGGGTGGTGGGAAGTGTTACCTCAGGCGAGGGTGGTGGGAAGTGTTACCTTAGGCGAGGGTGGTGGGAAGTGTTACCTTAGGCGAGGGTGGTGGGAAGTGTTACCTTAGGCGAGGGTGGTGGGAAGTGTTACCTCAGGCGAGGGTGGTGGGAAGTATTACCTTAGGCGAGGGTGGTGGGAAGTGTTACCTCAGGCGAGGGTGGTGGGAAGTGTTACCTTAGGCGAGGGTGGTGGGAAGTGTTACCTTAGGCGGGGGTGGTGGGAAGTGTTACCTCAGGCGAAGGTGGTGGGAAGTGTTATCTTAAGCGGGGGTGGTGTGAAAGTATTACCTTAGGCAAGGGTGGTGGGAAGTGTTACCTCAGGCGAAGGTGGTGGGAAGTGTTACCTTAGGCGGGGGTGGTGGGAAGTGTTACCTCAGGCGAAGGTGGTGGGAAGTGTTATCTTAAGCGGGGGTGGTGTGAAAGTATTACCTTAGGCAAGGGTGGTGGGAAGTGTTACCTCAGGCGAAGGTGGTGGGAAGTGTTACCTTAGGCGGGGGTGGTGTGATAGTATTACCTTAGGCGAGGGTGGTGGGAAGTGTTACCTTAGGCGAGGGTGGTGGGAAGTGTTACCTTAGGCGGGGGTGGTGAAAAGTGTTACCTTTGGAGGGGGTGGTGTGAAAGTGTTACCTTTTGCCGGGGTGGTGGGAAAGTCTTAACTGTGGCGGGGTTGGTGGGGAGTGTTACCTTTGGCGGGGGTGGTGGGAAGTGTTCCACAGGTGCAGGTTCAGGTTCCGGTGCCGCCTCGACGGGGGGTGCTGCTTCTGCCTCAGCCATCTCTTGAATAAAAAAAATCAATTAGCATCTATAAGTTAAGAGTCCTTGCTGCGATATTGTGTGAAATTATCAGGCTGTAGACGCTTGTGTGGTATACCTCCCAGCTCACACTTACAGTACAACTAAATGGTTAGTTTAACTGATTAATTCCAAATTAAGTGGAAAGAATGAGTAACTTGCGTATAATTTCGCCTTCTTACCCTACTCTATTAATTCAATAGTTAGTTACGCTCAAAATGTGAAATAAAACATAAAAAAATAAAAACATATAAAGAAAAAATAATATTAATATTCATAATTTAGTGGTAACAATAGTTTCTTATTAAATTAATTGATGCAACACTTATGTAATTATGTCACAGGTGGTACCGAATTCCATGCAAATTGTTTAATTTGGCCCATGCATCCAGTCTGTTGCATTAAATATTTGCTATCCATACGAAATATTATTTTGCTTTTGCAACATAAACAGTCGTATTAGGATTTTTTAAATTCTAATTATACTTTCTTCCTATACATAGTATATGGATAAAGTATCGTTTTCATCAAAATTTTCTAGTTTGAGCACAGACAATGGATTGAGTTTTGAGTGAATATATCCGTGACCGTTTTGTGTTTTCAAAAAAGAGCTTTTCGAAGTGATGTCTGTCCGTGTGTGTGGATTGTCTGTATGTGTGGATGTGTACAAAGCTACAGACCACACCTGTGGTCCGATTTCGATGAAATTTGGTATGTATGTACCAATTCATGGTATTCCGATGAGGTTTTTTAATTTTCGGGGTTTTACGGTGATTTTCCCATAAAACTCCATAAAATAACAGAAAAATAATTGAATTTTCTCGAAAACGGCCCGAACGGTTTTGATAAAACTTTAGTACTGTATACCCCTTTAAATTCTGAACAAAATTTTACTAATTATTCTATTCTTGTAAAATTACTGTTCAAAAGTTATTATAACTATCGTTATTTATTTTCCCATAAAAACCCATAAAATAACGGGAAATCGGACTTTCCAAAAAACCCCGGTTTTAAATTATATTTCTATACTATGGTCCTTCTAATTCTAATCAAAATAGTGCAACCCCCATTGCTGTGAAAATTACGGTTTAAAAGTAAATGCAACTTTTGTGATTTCTCCCATAACATATGTCCTCACCGCCTACCCATGACAAAGGTTGTTGAACAGAGGTAATGGAAGAAAGTATGTGTCAGATTGCTGATACTGTTCATTTTACCTGCATTTATCATCTTGTTTACACTTGTACTGCTCCTATTAAATTTGATCTACCATGATTTATTTTGATAAAAAAACTAACTAAACAGTAGACTTTATTAGCTTAAATTATTAGCATAACATTTTTAACAAGATGTGTTAAGACTATAACAACAAAATTATGTATTTGTTTTAATTCAAGCTTCAAACACAATGTTCAGCATAAGAAAACTTAATAATTTTACTGGAAAACTTAATTGAAACCTATTTATTTGCATTAAAAAACTTTAACTGAGTCTTACTTTACATCAATACAAATCTATACTATTATATACAGATATAATGGTGTCTGTCTGTCTGTATGTGTATTACTATTTAACACAAAAACTAGTGAACTGACTGGGATTAAATTCTACAAAAATATAGCTACCACACCAAGGATGGTCATAAGACGATTCACACTTCAATTTGGCATTAAAAGTTCTGAGGTGAGGATTTTAAAAGTAAATATTGATTTGTATGGCTGTAATGAGAACAATCATAATGTTAACATTTGCTTTGACATTTCAATGTAAACAAGAAGAGCTGCCAAATTGCTTATTTCACAATTTCAGGCAGCTGATAAAAAAAAATATATATATAAAGAATATTTCTTTCTAAACTATGTCAATGGTTATATAAATAAAAAAGGTTCTATAACTGTTGCTCTATCAACCCAGCCTCTGCTTTGGATTTTTAAAAGTGCCTAAGTTTGAAAATAAAGTGATTGATATACAGTGGTAAATTAAGTATTGAATCAAATCTGTATTTTTAAAACCGAAATAGATAGAAATATTCTGTTTGTGGCAATAATTGTTAACAAAGGTTCCACAATTTTTACATCAAAAATATTTTCTAACCCCCTTAACAGGGTAGGGGGTAGGGGTGACTTATTTTTTTCAAATAGCAACCCCTACTGAGTGACCCCTCATTTTGAAGGATTTGTCAAAAGAAACCCGAGGTGGATATCTCACCCCTAGCCAAAATGGTGGATATTCCAAAATGGGTGCTTTTTTACAAAAATTAAATTTTGGAATACCCGCCATTTAGGCTAGGGTTGAAATATCTACCTCGGGTTTGCGTCATTGTTTTTCTTTTAACAACCCCTTCAAAATGAGGGGTCACTCAATAGGAGTTGCTTTTTGAAAAAAATGAGTCACCTCCCTCACTAGTTAGGCGGGTTAAAAAATATATTTGATATAAAAAATTGCGGAACCTTTGTTAACAATTATTCCCACAAACAGAATATTTCTATCTATTTTGGTTTAAAAAATACAGATTTGTTTCAATACTTAATTTACACACTGTATTTCATGGAAACAGTATGAAAACTACAATGTATAGATGTTTTGTATGAATTTGGAGGATTTCTTTATAAATTCAACTGCTTAACATGTAATTAATTAATGTAACATAACTTGCACTTTACGTTGACTTTTTTATATTTAGGTAAATGTAATTGTGTGTTGTTACACCTATGCGTAAAGTAAACTAAAGAATATCATAAATAACTAAATTGTACACCGTTGATTTTTGTGTTCTGAAATCTGTGGTAGATTTGTAACTATACATTTAATTTAAAAAAATGGCAGTACAAAATACTCTTATTTGATCTTACTATAGCTTGCAGTTCACAATAATTACTTTATTGCATTTCGATAAATTTATTATTTGTGTTTTGCTACACCGCTGATTAAATTAAACTAAGGAAAATATCATAACACTAAGCTATACACACTACACAGTGTTCTTTTGTTTCTAAAAACAGTGAAATATCTATTGATATGTTAACTTAATCAATGGTAAGTGTAAAAATCTAAAGGCAATGGACTATGGAACTGAATAAAATAACTTGTTTGTATATTATGTTGTTCGTTCATATTTTTGTAGAGTAAAATCAGAGATGCAATGACACATATTATCACTCTGATTCTAAGTATATTATACTGTATATACTATTGCATTTTTTATTCCTCGATGTTTTGATAATCATATTAGTTTTGTCTGCCGTCTTTAATGCTAAATTAATAATTTACAACTTTCTATAGTATAGATATCATTTCTTTAATATTTCAAAAGACAAAGCCTTTTATTGATAAGGCAAACAATATTTCTTAAGTTTATAACTGCTGATGTTGTTAATTTTAGTTTAGGTTAGCAACTTCAAGATTGAAATTTAAAATGACAAAAATAAAGAAAAATATAATATTTAAATAAGGGAGATGGAGGTAAATAAATAATGTATGTGAATTGTGAATGTGATTTGAAATTTTGGTAAGATTTTCACATTTCAGCCTACACAGGATTTAAAATTAATCAAATCAAAACAAAAATTGTGGTTTACACTACTTACCAGATTTAAAAGCCATACATGTTCCTATAAAGGCCCAAAAGGTTGAATTTTGTTTCTAAAAGCGTTGGTGGATGTGTAACTATTTTTTACAATAGATGTAAAGATCAAAATGTTTCTATTTCGTGTCTTCTTCCCGTTGAAAATCAAGGGTACAACAGCTAGTAGAATAAAATTAAAGTGAAAGGTGATGAATTTTTAGATTGTAAACCAATTATATCAACATTTAATTTTACAGTATCATGTTTATAATTTTGACATAGGCCTACATTTTAACTACACCTATCTTAGTTATGTATTAAGTTCAATTAATTGGGTGTTGGAAGATATCAACATTTTTACTACCGTTAAATAATTTTTTCACCTCACTACGATGTTTTTAGCCGTTTTACAAACGATTATTGGAGGCCGAAAGCTACTGCTGTCGATGCCAGCTGCATCGTCATTTGGGGGCCGAGCAGGTTTGTACATCCCTAGGGCCGAAAATCAGCTGTTCGCTTATTTTGATATTTTCTTAAAACATTAATGCATATTAAATACACAGTCGTTATCCATAGCATTGTAATAAACTTGTTTTATTATCACCACGGCTTAGAAACTATTTATTTATTATTTTTGCTGATTCCTGAAAATATTTCTTCACATAATCTTAAAGCTGTAGGTATTCTTTTGTTTCAAAATTATGCTAAGTTAAAATTAATGTAAAAACAATTAAAATTATTCATTGTATACTAGTCATAAAAATGAATAGTACGTCAATGGTCATAATAGAGTCTTTATTATGATATTACAGTACTATCCAATACCAACAAACAAGTCACGTTTGTTACGCTCTCACAAAGTTTTTTTTACAATTCTTCTATGCCATGGTTAAAACACCAAAACCCGACTCAAAACAAAGATATTAAATTACCCAGGTTAACTGTGTATTTGTCACTAACATATCCCAGATTAATTTACACAACTAAAATTAATTAGAACACTTTGGTATGAGAGTATGTAGTGAGTATATGCAAATACCATTTTGGAAAGTTCTAGGTTGTGGTACACGTAACTTATATTTACCATATCATGTATATTGTTTTTATCTGTATGTTTATTAGTAAACAAATACAAAACTTTTTAAAACTATTAATCCAAAAACTTTGTTTACAGACTTGTTTTAGTTTAAAACTCCAACACCCGCTTAAAAAATACAATACGCTTTTATTTTTATTGTTACAAATTTCAGATTCATAAATCCTTAAAAAGGAATTCACAATCTTAAAGCGTCACAACAAATTGGTAGCAATAAATATTGACATTGGACTAGTTACCTACCTCGCAGCAGACTCCTCTCTCAGACCAAAGACTAACGGAGGATCCGTCTACAAGTAGCAGCCGCTAGTTTAAACGTCTATGCCAAGGCTGCTAATCGGACCTTCGCAGACCCCACCAGGCATCAAGTAGCATTCCTAGCAACTGCAGGCTTTGAGCTAATTAAGTCTTGGCCCAAACTTTGACACTCGCTGCCTGAGTTGCCGCCCGAAGGTCGATCCCTTACCTATTTTTAATTTTGTCAAAATCAAACCAATCCACGGAAGCGATGTGTTCGGCTTGAGAATGGCCTAACTACTGATCTCGTGGCTTGTTAATTTTAGCCGAGCTTATTGCCCAAACGTAGCACTGTTGGGGATTTTGGCTAAAAAGAGGAATCTTTGGTTCAGGCCGTCCTTAGAGGTGAATGATGGTAGTATTTTACCAAATGCTTCGGCTAGGAAGCATGAAAATGTGTGGTTGTCAGGTTTATAGAATAATAGATGTACAATCGGACCATATTGAGTTGACTTATAGCCTACTTGTTGTTTTGAACAATAAGTCATAGTTCATTAACTATATTTGGTTTACTCTTAGAACTTCATAAATAGCTAATTGTTTTCCTGTCGTGTGATTTTTAACAAGATTAGGACATATTTTATGAAGTGTTTCAGTATTGTTATTCCAACCGTAATCACTCTACTACTAAATTAAAATATAAATATAAGAAAAAATAATCAAATAACAGAGTGTTTCTTTTCTATGGACCTCCGTTTTTGTACATTGTTTTCAACTTTACGTTCAACTCCGTTCAACACCACCAAAAGCATTATTATCTGTTGAAAATGTCGAGGTTCTAGCTATACAATTCTTGGGCCTAAGAAATCAAACTGTTGATTATATACTTATAGAGTTATCATCGTGTTGGAAATGTGAAGAAAATGTTAAGGTATATTTTTATACCGACCGGGAATGGTCGGTTGCGTTGATGTCAGCTATTACAGTATTCCTCACATTCTCGGGTAAGATGATCTTTCATTTTGGCTTGGTGGAAAGTAACATGCGTACATACAACGGGTGTCAGTAATCAAAAGCACATTATGGTGAATTAATAAAGGGGGCCGGGACCCCCTTGCCCACATTGATAGATGCCCATGCCCCTCAGAACCCAGCAATCTAACAACGTTTAACGACTAATAATGTAAAAATGATGCATACCTGAAAGCGTTGAGAAGAAAGTGAAATAAAACTACATAACTCATACAGTCGAGTTGATGCTGTTCCTGCTGATGATTGCTGGTCCCTTTGTTTTGTAATCCGATTTACGAAGAGCGAACAATGAAGCGGAAATCGTTGTAATTGAACCGTTGGGAAATTGAAACAAGAACCACGAGTTTTAAATTCAGAATCGCATTTTCCAGTTTTCAATGTTTCCATGTTCCATGAAGATTACTAGAATAAATTTAAAGTACAAGCATGTGTTGTTGTATCAAAATCGTAGACAACCTTCTTAAGATAGGAATCAGATGATTGCAGCCCAGACATACCCTTGACGAATTTCTTTTTTCATGCAAAAGCATTTTTGCCATCTAAAAATCGTATTCGGGTGTCAGTATAAAGCACAAGTACCTACACTAATTAAATGCAAAATTACCAATTGACAAAGGCTTAAACACGTATTTTGACACGTTGAGAGCTTACAATTTAAATATATAGGCTACTAGTGCATTATAACTATTTTTACTCCATAATACACTGTTAATGAAAAGCGTGTATTAAAGTATTATAGTATATTACGTTACTAGTCCTGAAAATAATATTACGGACTCGTATGGTAATCCCATTACTCATTACAGTACAGTAGTACGCAATGAAACCCCATTTGATTAAGCTGGCGGCAAACAGCTGTTTTCTGGACTAAATCCTTGCATGGGAAGTTCGTCAAAATAGTCAAAATATTTTAACGAACTTCCCTCTCAAGGATTTAGTCCAGAAAACAGCTGTTCGCCCCCAGCTTAATCATATGGGGTTTCATTACGTACTACTGTTACAGTAGTACAGTACTGTAATGAGTTTTTACCGGACACCAACCAGCTGATTATATTTGGCAATGAGTGGTTATAAAAAAACATAACCTCTTTTAGAGGTTATGAGTAGTATTTGTTGGTCCTTAAGTCGGTGGGTAACTATAAGGATTTTTTATTGTTAAGTTAGCTTAGAATAGTATGGCGTAAAATATCGTACGTCACTCGTCCAAAATGTGTTTACCGGACTCGTATGGTAATCCAGACCACACTCATCCGGTAAACACCTATTTTCAGGACTAGTAACGTAATAGGTATCCTATTACCATTTTATAACTGTTTAAACTAAAATGTAGTTATATGATGGTAATATGGTTACTAAGGTTTTAACAGTACATTACAACAGTATTCAATATATAAATTCAAATTTATTTAAAAAATTGAAATCTTACTACACATTGTAGTCTGCTGTAGAACAAAGAATAATATTACATTAAATTTTGCAAGTTTGTTTAAACCTAATTATGATAATTGTTATATATATATGTGGTTTCTTATAATATTAACGTATATTATTAATATTAATATTATTAATTAATATTATATTTACAAAGAAAAAGCATGTTTGAAAAGATGCCCTATACCAGCGTGTTCAAATGTAGAATAGAATCATATGCATAGAGAACTGACAAAGCAGAAACATCGCAACCAAAGTCACGTACGAAGTCTACAAAAGAAAAGTATTTTTTACAGAACCTTGTTTATGGTATTCCATTTTACAATGACGAATGCTTTGCTCGGATTTAAAACGTATGTACTTTATACTACAAAGCATCCACAAAACAATTCATAATAATTGATAGTAATAATAAGTGATTAATTAACAGTCCTCTCTAAGGAACATGTCAGCCTTAGTCAGTAACAAGATTACAAGATCGCGTCACTAATCCTACACTCATATCCATGCATAAAATACAGCACCTACATTCGTATGGTTACACTTTCAATTGAAAGTATTAAAAGTTTAGTCTGTGCTTTTCGTAGAATCGAAACACATTTTATAGCCTGAGAAAAACAAAACAAGTTTTATATAAGTTTTTCCTGTCTGATCAAGGCCCCACTTGATCCGTTTGTCTATTTATGTGGTTGTCGGCGATGTAATTGATGAAAATTCATCTCTATTCCGGGAAAGCTAGAGCATTAAAATGCACAAAATTTGCACTATTTTCCTGTATTCGCCCTTTTTCTCAATTTCTCAGGCTATTAATCTCTGGCATAACTAATTTGTAAATAAAATTAAGAACACAGTTTTGTGCGTTATTGCAAGGCAACACTAGTGTGGCCTTGGTTATTCGCCACATTTTCTCCGAATTTAACTAGGTACATACGAAATCCATCAAATAACAATAAGTTTTTTAGAGAAAAATCTCCTAACTGTCACTGAAATATTCACGTTATAAGCTGTTTACACTCTTATTTTACCAGACAACTGATTAAAAACAAGTAACGGGTAAGATTTATTCAAAACTTGATACAATACCCCCGCCGCAGCAAACCTGCAGACTTAGCGATTTGCCTGATTGGATTTAAACTAAAATGTCTCCTTAAAAATATCACATTTATTCCCTATTTAAACATTAATTAGTTTAATGAGTACTTAGGTTTTTAAAAAAGTTTTTTTTATGTAAAATGTTACAAGGTACTGTGGTTTAGTAAGAAATTAATGTATTTTCCAAATATGATCAAAATATGTTCATAAACAAGCAAACTACAAAAGTTGACTTATTTTCCATAAGAATAACATGGGAATTTTAAAATTAAAATTTTTTTGAATTTTCTCCGTAACAATTAGGCGCATAATAACGCTTCAATATACTAAATTATTTGTTTTTTAAGCTCTACAAAATGGTTTAAAAAGAAATTGTGAAATTTTGTGTTTTTAGGGTCAAAAATCGGAAAAACCTATTTTTACCCCATAAAACCCCCCATAAACCCTCGTTCCCATAGTTCGATCATGCTGGTTCGCGAACTCATTCAAGTTTATCCCGCCTTACACCTTCAAACCAAATTTTATCAAAATCTGACAAAAATTACTCAAGTTATCGTGCGGATGGACACATATATATATATATATATATATATATATGTATATTAATATATATATTAATTTATGTGTTCACGTAAGGGCTGCTGATATATTAAATATTTAAGTAAATAAGTACAACTGAGCACCCTGTATATTATATTTTATAAAAAGAAGTGACATGTTTCGGACATTAGTCCATTTTCAAACTTCAAAATACATTATACATTATGTCCCAAACATGTCACTTCTTTTTATAAAATATAATATACAGGGTGCTCAGTTGTACTTATTTACTTAAATATTTAATATATATATACAGGGTGACAAAAAAGTCTGGAAACGGCTTGATATCTTTTTAACTAAATTCGTTAGAAAATTCAAACCTTTCACATCAACTTATATGTATGAAAACTACTTTTTGCAAGTATTACCATTTTTTTACCTTCACCAGGGGACGGCCCACGAGGAGTAGGTACACAATCTTTAATGTAAGCATAGGTTGATATGCACATCATTTTAAAGGTCTGGTCAAGTGGAGTTTATTGCCGGAAACCGCGTCAAAAAAGGTTCATTCGTTACTAAATGGTGGCATTTCAAAGTTCTTGCGGAATATACCTGCAGAGGCCTTAGTAATGGTAAATACTCATAGTCAAAATTAGCTGGGAAATCTGAAACCCGTTTAAATTTGTTTTGAAGATTGAATAAACTTAGTCTATGGGCTAGTTGACTTTAAAATACAATTTTAGCTCTCAAGATAATGTTTAATACGAGTATTTACCAATATTAAGGCCTGTAAAGGTATATTCCACAAGAACTTTGAAATGCCGCCATTTTGTAACGAATGAACCTTTTGAGATGCGGTTTCCGGCAATAAACTCCACTTGACCAGACCTTTAAAATGGTGTGCATATCAACCTATGCTTACATTAAAGATTTTGTACCTACTCCTTACGGGTCGTCCCCTGGTGGAGGTAAAAACATGAAAATGTTTGGAAAAAGTAGTTTTTATACATGTAAGTTGATGTTAAAAGTTTGACTTTTCTAAC